CTCATATCCTAGATTGGACATGATAGAGGGTTGTGAGCTTGTCTGTCATATATTTGTTCATATGTCTTTTTTAACCAATTTAAATGAGGAATAAATCGACTAAACAGTGGTCTTCTTTCTCCGCTTACCAATCAATCACGTCATAGGTCAGGTAGTATAGTTTTCTTCTCTTGCCTTAAGGTCGTTCAGTCAATACTAATCGAACTTATGCATTGCAAGCGTCAAACCTGTAACTAAGCGACTCTTCATATCAAAGACGTCAACCAGATCGAAACAATTCTGTCTTCCTGTACAGAATGATCAGAAAAATAAGTCTGCGTAAGTAAAATTTACGGACTCATAATTGATTGTTTAAGTGTTTCAGTAGATAGAGTTTGTGAATTAGGTATTTGAGGCCTGAATAGCAAATAGGAAGTTACAGATATGCACAACCACTCAATCACTATGTGAATAAAAAATGATTTTTACTTTCAGACAGTCAAGAAACTCAATCGTAGAATTCTCATTCGTAAAAAAGCTATGTAAGGGTTTAGACATTGATGAATCACTGTTATAATGTTTCCCTTATACTTATTTATTTACATGAGAGGAGTATGGAGAACGGGTACCACTTCAAAGCAGTGTAGTGATCTACTTTGATGAAGACAACGCGATTGGTGTAATGAAAGCATTTATTATTATAACTAACTGTACCAGTGATTGTTTTACTGTAACATTTTGTTTAATTATCCAGAAAACACACTTTTCCGTTGTTTGTGACCTTGAGCTTACTCACTTACGCACGGTAGACTCCCCTGTAAACTTTGACACGAAATCGGCATTATCTTAATACCACGAGATTATCAGCAAATATATCTTGACTACAATCTACAACTATCCTTCTAATAATGATCCTAAGGAGGTATTTCACCTGATAATTGGCACGTAATCAATCTATAGTGGTGATCTTAGTCGACTGCGACTAAACATCACCATAACAGTATTTCACGACACAAACTAAATCTTAAACTACATATCGTATGATATAAGCATAAGTGTTTAATTTAATATACCTTTTGTCTTTTTTCTTAATATCAGATGGGTTTTTGTGGAGATTGTAGTAATTTCAATGGTTAAGATCATGAGTCAGTTGAAGCTAGACCACCATGGAGAACCTGGAAGCACTGAACGGTCGTTTCGTCCTATTGTGGGACTCCTCAACAGTGCGCATCCACGACCTCGCCCCCTGCGAGATTCGAACCCAGGACCTACTGGTTTCGCGCCTGAGCACTTAACCACTAGACCACTGAGCCGGCATCAAACGGTGTTAATGTCTAACTTCAACTAATCCACGAAATTCAGCGACACATTTTTTCTTAATCTCTACTAAGATCAAGTAACAGTCTATTTGTTATGTTGTACAGAAGTGTTCAGATATACATGTGACAGATTAAATTTCATAAATATTTAATAAGTTACATTGTAGTTAACTGCGATATTAGTTACCATAGAAATAATACCATCATAAAGTAGATCATTTACATTTACATGAATATATCTAATCAATTGTTCATGAATGAAATTATTAATTATGAAGTGTGAACTTGTAGTTAGTTAGCTAATGTAGACAGTCATCCTCTGCGTGATCATTGATGAAATGAACAATGGTAAATGATAGGTCATGGTATACAGTAAAATTATTCGTGCATTATGTTATCACATCTATCTGATTATTTGTTGTCATAATTTATTTTTAAAATATACATATATTCAAGCTTAGTCTATTTTAACGTTAGCTAAACTGAATGCAAACAACCAAATAATCAACTTTTTCTGAAAATGTATAGTCAGAAAGTATATAATACCGGTTTGGTGAAGACGTTGATAAAACGCAGAGTCTTTTGGTAGCACTGAGCAACAATGCCAGTAGTTGAACTCGTTGACGACTTCGCTTAACTTGGTAGTTTGATCAGTCCTAATGAGTTGGTGTCTGATGAAATCTCTGCATGGATTCGAAAAGTTCGTTTAGCTATTGTCAACTTACGTCAACTATGGCGAAGGCGAGATATCTGTCTATCAATTAAGAGACGAGTATGCTGTGCGGCAGTCCGTTCTGTTCTACTTTACCGCTGCGAAACGTGGCCATTAAGAGATATTCGTAAGCTGCTAGTAATTGATCACAGATGCCTTAGAAATACTGCTCACATCAGCTGGGATCACCGGGTAAGTAATAATGAGGTTAGATGCGGGGTATTAGGGAATGATGGCAAATCAGTTGATGAGGTTGTGAATCTTCATCGACTGAGATGTTTGAGCCATGTGCCTGAACACCAATTACCACGACGCGCAATTCCGACCAGTGTTGGAGACGGCTGGAAGAAAGTTAGGGGTGGACAAACCCAAAGCGTGGCATCAAAGCTTGAAGCCATTAACGTCTAGTGTGAGCCATGTTGGTAGATGAAGACTACTTGGTTCGGGTTCGCATGACTATCGTAACCAATAGTTGAGAACTCTAGGTGACATGGCTCAGAATCAATCACAATGACGTCGGTGTGTATACTCTCTGGCTTTTCTTAAACCAAGAGATTAAAATCGCTTTATATCTTTTTTTCTACCAACTAATTCTTTCTGTCTGTACTATGTCCTTGTAGTCAAAATTTCTTTTATATATTTCCACCACCGGATTAACTACTATGAATCCGGTGTTCATCTTTTTGTGCTAATGAGGTATGGCAACTTCGACCGAGGCATATATGTGCTTGGTCCTACTTTGTAGCTAACTGACTGATATAACAGCTAAATAATGACAATTACAATAGAAAGTCCACTAAATGTCATTTCAATGGACCAGATTTCTATGAACAACCTGTATGCAAGATCATTAAAATCTGATTAGATGAAACTTATTACATATCGATTTGAGTTACATAACATATTGTAATCCTCTAGAAGATTTAAAGATACTACCCCCCCTATAGATTACATATGAAGTTACATCATTGAAAATTATTAAAACTTCATCTTGAGAATTGTAACTACAATTAGTCTATGTCGAATATTAAAGGAATCAAACGGATGAACTATATGTTTATACTTTTACTTATTCTCATTTAGTCACGGTTGATTTAGTTTCCAAGTATCAGAAGCAAAAAGGAAAAGAAAAACAAGTACATTACCTGGATATTAGGAAATGACCAAATGTTTAGACGCAAACAGTCTGGAAAAAGGAAATACATATTAAGAAGAAAAGGGTCATCCAATGCTTCCAAGTTTTCCAACGATGATCCAGCTTCAATTGCCTCATTACAATAATATCCACAAAACCACTCTCTCCGATTAAAATCTTAATAGTTAGAATTCATGAGTTGATGTCAGTTAAACTACTATGAAAAACTTATAAGAATCGAATAGTTGGTTTGTCCTAGTATAAGGACTTCTCAGAGTGAGACTGATAACTCCTGCAATCGAATATCTCGTAGTGGGATCCTAGATATCCAGTCAGTCAGTCAGTAACAACGTAGAACTTCGTACGTACGTACATCAGTTCGAGTTGCCACACCACATTAGCACAGAGATGCACTTGTCGATTCAAATCCCTTAGTGGTAGAGGTAATAAGAGTTTAAGCGGTAATCGGGAAGATTAGGGTTTGGAGATGTTATTTAAAGAGTATAATCCAGTGAAAGAAATTTGGAAAAAGAAAGGGACGTGAAGAATTCAGAAGATTAGAATTTGGGAGAACACAAAGAGTGGATGCACCTGCGCACACCATTGCAAACGATTTTGAGCCATGTCATTCAGGGTCTCTAACCATCGGTTGCTGTCATCTCGCGGTCCCCAACCAGGTAGTCTACACCTAGCAACATGACTCAGTTCACTTGTCAGTGACTTCATGGACTTATGCCATGTTTTGGTTTGGCTGCCCCTAGCTTTCTTCCAACCTACTCCTATACCACTGAACATAGCACGTCGAGGCAGTCGGTCGTTGGGCATACGTAACACGTGTCCCAGCCATCTCAACTGATGAAGTTTCACTACTTCACCAATGGATTCGCCATCCTTACCTAGTACCCGTTTCCTAACAACTGCATTACTTACTCGATGGTCCCAGGATATACGAGCAATGTTTCGAAGTCCCATATTAGGATAAAACAACCATCCAGTACGTTCAAGTTTATCATGATGAATCTAGCTTTAATGGATTCATCAATTCACCGATTGAAATAATTACAATCTCAACAAAACCTCTTCATCATCAGTGATAAAAACAACACTATTATTATTCATCACTAAACAAATCTTTAATCGAACTTAAAAATGAGATCAACAGAAAATAAGATCATTCTGATCAAATTATTTTTAAATAGAATAGATGAAACAACAACAACAAGAAAAGAAAAGAAAAGAGAGAAGAAAAAGAAGAAAAAACAAAACAAAAAGAATCGCACATCATTCTAATCGAATAATCAACAAATAACACTGCATAACATTCCTTTTCCCAATTATGAAATAATCCACATTGAAATGATCATAGAGTAGTTGATCATTGAAATAAAGATCATAATTAACCATTTAAACAAAATCATATAAAGCGCATTTTCTTTCTTTCTTTCTTTCTTTATTTATTTAAGACTAAAAGTATAAATAGCAAAATATATCTAAATATAAACTTCGTTCTTTTTTTTTCTTAGGAAAAAAAGAACAAAAAAAGAGAGAAGTTAAAGAGAGAAAAAATTGTTTTTCTCTCGTTAAAAAAAACAAACAAAAAAAAGAGAGAATAATGTTTTGTTTTTCTTAATTACATAGAAATTGGGTAAATAAAAAAAAGATAAAAAGGTAAAGAAAAAATAGAAATGTAATTTGTCAATGGAAATAATCAATACTTTTTTCTTCTTTATTTTTTCATCAAAGAAAAGAAAAGAAAAGAAAAAAAGAGATGGGTGGGGGGCGGGGGGGTTGCGGATGGGTGGGGGGGTGCTTAAAGAAACATGATTTGAAAAGATGTAAAAAATATTTTTGTTGGTTAGTGTGATATAAATTCAAATTCATAAAATGCTATTAATAGCATTATACAGAAACCTAAAAGGATACCAAAATTTTGCCATAGAAATAAAACACTCGGTTGATGACAACGTCGATTACCTTTAAGTTGATTAGCCGATAATTCTGGCATCTGAGAAATAAAAAACAAATAAACATAAACAAAAGTATTATATACACTGATTAGTTGAAATGATTTTGAAAGTAATGATGATGAGTGCTAAAATGATGAATGTAAGAACTTATCTATATTTAGTCAAACAGTTAGTTACAACATAGGACCTGGTATATATATATACATCGGTCCGAGTTGCCATACCTTATTAGACTTATCTATATTATCATCAGCGAATTGAAGCTAGACCACTATGAAAAACCTGGAAGCACTGAACGGCCGTTTTGTTCTAGTATGGGATTCCTCAGCAGTGAGCATTTACGATCCCCACCCATGCGAGATTTGAACCCAGGACCTATCAGTCTCATGCGCGAGCGCTTAACCATTAGACCACTGAACTGGCATCCAACGGTGTTAATGTCTAACTTCAACAAAACCACAAAGTTGCACCGCCGCACATCATTGTTCACAGTGAGTTGATATCACACAACAGAGCTGGTTGAACTCCACTGGTCACGGTTTCTCACTAGAACTCCAGGTTCTCCATGGTGGTCTAGCTTCAACTGACTCATGATTTCAACTATTGAAATTCCTAAAAATTTTCACAAAACCCCTTCTGATAATTATCTATATTAGTCAGTGATGGTAGCATGCTCTATGTTGCTAAGCGCAAACAATGAGAACAAAAAGTACTTAAATATAGGTTAGTTAGACAATTAATAAAGTACAGATTATCCCTAACTAGTAGTGTATTATTGATATATAATAATGAAAGTAAAATATGATTGGTCATTGAGAATGGATAAACAAGCATTTAGCTCACTAACAATGATTGCTTGTAATTATATGGAAAAAAGTACTATCTAATGTTAATTTAGTTCTTTATTCTAGGTCGTAAACCCTGTTACCAATGTAACGTGACCGCTTTCATTATCGTATTCAACGCATAATGATAGTACATTTGAAAGGGAAAAATATCCCAAGCCATATTTTATAACAAGTATAGAACATTATTTGATCCTCCGTAAAGACGATGCCAAAAATTCAATCACAACCTTTATAGCCTAATAATACATGGGCTTAACTATATATTTAGCCAGCTCAGTAGGGTGAAACTAAGGACAAAATATAAATCCATTTTATTGAAGAGGAAAAAAACTAATTAGAATAACGAAGTGTTGACTGAACAATAAAACCAAAAACTAGGATATTCTAAGCATAATCCTCTTCTTATTGACTTACGTTTACGGTTATAAACTTACAATACATACAAATTAACATTCCATTATGAATTCAGTGAGGTTGCCAACCTCATTCCCAACCCTCCTTCTTTACCCGGGCTTGGGACCGGCAGTAACCCTAGTAGAACTACAGATGAAGTGCAGACAAGAACTGTAAAAGTAAGGGCAGCATTACTACAGTTTAAAAACATATGGGATTCAAAACAACTATCAACCAACATCGAAGTCAGAATCCTCAATACAAACTTCAAGACAGTTTTATTGTACAAAGGTGAAACTTGGAGAACTACCACAACTATCAGTAACAATCTAATATGAGAGAGAACAACTCCCCCCCCCCCCTACGTGAAGAGGAAATTAGGAAAAGACGTTGTAGGTGAATAGGACACACATTACAGAAACTATTAAACTTCATCTCGAGGTAAGCGCTAACTTGGAATTCTGAAGGGAAACAGATAAGACCAAGACCAAAAAACACACTGAGCCAAGAATTGGAAGCAGAGTACGATGCTAAATGCTGATAGGTGGCCTATGCTCCTTCACTTATGACAATAGTTTGCCATCAGAATGGATCATGAAAATTTGATCAGACATTATCACTAATGAGTTAATTATCAATGTCTTTTTTCAAAAAAAGAGCGGGAGTAAAATAATTAAATATAATCAATGTATAGAAATCTAACAGAAAAATGATAGAAACCCCCCCCCCCGAAAAATAGAAAACTAACCATATCAACTAATGCAATATAAATAAACATTCCAGCAGCTAACATAAATATCCATGTATCTAATGAATGCATTCCACCAAGTAAAAAACCAATAATCATACCAGCAGCACATAATATACTGGATAATAAATTATAAAATAAAGCTGATTTTACAGACATTCCAGCATGAAGTAAAACAGCAAAATCACCTTAAAAAAAAAAAGAAAAGAATGATAATGATAATAAATAAAATATTGATTGATTTTTAATAAAATCAATGATAGAAATTCAATTGAACGGATCAATCAGATATAAAATAATAGATTTCGGATTTTGGCGCCAAATTCACTTATCCATTTTGACATTATAACTGATGTCAGTTCATGATTTTTAGAGAAAAAAAATCTTAAATCTAATTCTTCACCTTAATTAGCAACTATAAATCACCAATTCCAATCTTCATTTGATCGTAGATATTAGTAGGTGGACACTCTCAAGGTCAGTGTAACGTCAGTCAAAGGTCGTTCAAAAATTATGGTCTCATCAGAAATTCTAATTAGAATATTTCAATCATTGAACTCTATTTGAAAAAGTCAGATGAAAGAAGTGATTTTTCAGTTGTTTTTTTTTGTTTTCTAAATAAACGACTGTTATACTCACTTCCTTTTTTTTTTAATAGAGACTTACATATTGAATGTAAAGATCATTTAGGGCATAGGTTTACTCTACTTGATGCATCAAATATATTGGTTTACATTGAATTGTACAAGTTGTCCAAAACCATTGAAAGATTAACTTGAGCACACTAGATCACTTCTTGCATAAATCCTAGATTTGTTGACTATTATACTTTGACCTCCATTAGGCGCTTCAATCGAATCACAAGTACTACAGGTTAACCATCGTTTTATTTACTGATATTAGAGTTGGCCCTTATTTGACACGTATATTTGTATATTTAGGCTTGAGAGGAGTGGGTCTTTGAGTCGCTACCTTATTTAAAGCCCTGTACAATCAATTTAACCAGAAAAGTAAGGATAGGATTGCATAATTTCTTTGTTTACTTTTAAGTTATTATGTCAATGATATCCTGGAAATAGTATTGAAATGAATGTAAGCTGTTATAGATTTTTAACTTGAGTATATGTTGAACAATTGAATATACGGAATACATTTATTTATCTTTGTGAGAGCCGGTAGAAGTGTCCACGACTAGATCGACATTGTGTTATATCTTAACAAGAACGATTAAAGTATTGGGGTTTTTGACTGGCTTGAGATAAATTATGTTTACGACTGACTGAGGATTATTCTAATATGACACAACGAATAGAAGCTCAGATAAACTATATGTCTATCACACATACTAATCGAGAAGACGGGGACTTTCAGAATAACTATATATTCCATAAAGGCGAATTTGAAAATGAAGATATATGTAGTGTAGGAAGTAAATGAAAGCAGTTATTTAAAAATAATGATAATCGACCACAAAGTTGTCTATTTTGTTGCAGACACAGTGGATTTTATGTATTTTATTTCTACACTTTGATCATTGTATTGCAATTACGATTATGTCGGGATCAAAATGCTTAGCTAGATATGAGTTATATTAGTAATAAAGTATATTCAATCCTGCTTAAGCTAAATGTTTGATAGCAATTATTATTTTCGATTCTTCCAATATCCATAATAACCCCTTATTACATAAGTTCACCCTTGAATCCTCATATTCATAAAGCAAACTACCTAAAGGGTTAAGGTGACGGTAACTATTTCAAGAACCACCACATTCTTAGTTAACATTTCACTTATAATTGAACTTAAAAGTGTCAATACACCAGGTTACATAATTCGATAAACTAGTTACAGTAGGAAGAATAGTACACTGTAAAATATTGAGGAATTGAGCTAAGAATTTAACATAATATATTAGATATAATTATGGGGAAATAAAACCGACAATTTACGCCGTACTTTTTATAGCTTTAACTTACCTAGTTCATGTGGGAGTTCATGACATAATACAGCTATTGAAGTTGACAGACCACCACGCATATCATTCGCGAATGCAGCACCAATAGCTATACCATCACAAAAGTTATGTAATCCATCACCAGCAATTATAGTATAAGCAATTGCACGAACAGAACTTAAATCATGACTATGACCATGATGATGCCCATGTGGTTTATCACGATGTGGATGTGTTTGAATTTGTTCCCCACCACCAAAATAATCGAACGACGAATTCGTTCTTAAAATTGCATTAGGTTTACCAGTTTGTGAAGGAGTATTATTAGCAGGGTTAGCAAGCTCTAATGTAGTATTATTCTAAATAGATAATATAAATAAACCACAGACTGTTACACCAGTTTACAGAACAAAGCTCAATGGCAAAATACTACAATTATTGTGATGTTTTCTACTTATGTTGACAAGTATAGGTGGTATGTAACATCAATCAGAGGTGGAATGCCTGGCTGCAGAAGATTGGGAAGATCAAATTGAAGAGAACAGGAATATATACAGAGAGTAATTGTGACAACAACCGGAATGAAAGAACGATGAAGTTTGTAAGAAACATTCAATCGAAGATGCCCAAATGATGTATTTAATGTATGGTTTTAATATTTTACCAAGACACTGTAATGTTGCATTAAACAATAAATTGTTCTTTCCCATCTGAGTTCTCGTTCACTACAGTATATCTTCTAGTAGAACGAGACGTTAATACATTAGAATCCCAGCATGCAAGCAAAGGTATAAATGCTCTACAACATCTCATCTAGCAAATTTACTATTTCACAAACAGGTTGTTAGAGTTGTCCCAATCCATAACTTGTATTCATAAAAGTGTTTCTAACTGAGCAATGTTGTATAGATTAAAATCTTCTTAAAAAAAAGCATTTCATTTAACATCAGGCAGCTTATCTACTTAACTATTGTATATATGTATGCAGTTATCAGTTTCTTTCACCTTTTTTTCCTTTTCTATAGAACAAACTCGTTGAAATACCTTGTGTTGAGGATTCTATATTGTACTAAAAATATAATATTGAATAAAGCCATTGATAATAATAATAATAATTTCATATGGTTTTAAAATCACGGACAAAAGCATCCAGATCCTGTTGTCAAGTCGAGTTCCTTGTCCAGTGTCTCTCCTTCTGATATTCGTCTGATTCTTTCGGATGAAATTATCGAGCGAGCGTATCTTTCAGCTTTACAACCGGAAGCAGTGGTGTACGCCTGTCAACGTCATGATTGTATCTTACCGAATGGTCAACGTACTGGGTTCTTAACTGGTATGTTATTTATTCTATGCATAGTATTTAACATATATTTTCGTCGCTTAACAAATCTGTGAGCTGTGGTACTAGTTAACCAAACGTGAATTTATGTACTCATTTTATCCATTGAACTTGGTGGAATAGGTCTCAAATTTTTTGTGTACTTACTCTTTTAGGATGACGAACCTTACGAATCAAATCTACCCGAGCTAAAGGACCACTCTAATACTACCCAACATATGTGATGCGTACGACTCTTGGTCGTTAGGTTCTGTGTGTTTGTCACCAATCAGATGCATTGACTCTGTTAAGGCTTTCTACTCGAGTTGTTCTGATTAAGTCAGAGCTTACGGCTAACTGGTATCGGAATTGATAATTTCACGTGCCGTTCATCAGGGTTGCCCACTTTCACTATTTTTATTTAACTTTGTCATATATAGGAGTAAAGTCGATCGTAACGACCGCTCTATTTATCTTGAGATTCTCATTAGTCCAGATGTTCTAGTGTCAGATGAAACCTCAGCACGGATTCAGAAAATCCGATTGAAGTTTGCTAACTTGAGACGCTTGTGGTTTGAGAGAGATGTCTACCAACTGAAAGGTGTGTATAATGCAAAGAAGTCCGTTTGGATTCACCTTGTGGCTGTGAAATTTGTTCTAGGAAATTGAAAGACCTACTTAGGCTACAGGGTTTTAGTCACGTATTTTCGAAGCATTTCATGGGGTCCGAGGAAATATCGAGTGAGGAATGCTAATGTGAGGGATAGGGTTCTGAGTAAAAATAGTAAGTCGACTGATGAGGTTGTCAATGTACATCGAAATGTAAGAACATAAATGAGAACAATATTTGCTAAAAACCAATCCGGTTAATTGAAAACTACTGGGAAAACTTTCTGAAAAGGTGTTACGTTGTTGAATCGAATAAAAACTTTTCAAATTACTAAAAATTAATTTAACTAAAAGCATAATAATCTCACTTGTTTTACATCAAGCATATCAACTACGGATCCCCCATTATTTATTACAGATGTTTGCTTATTAACATTATTAATATTCTTATTATTATTGTGCACTGATGACTTCCTCAAATCGGATAGTTTTGCATAGTGACCTTCAACAACAACACCACCACCGTTAAAATGTTGTTGATCAATATTTGCTACCGCTTCAATGGTATCTGTTGGCGGCACAATGTTGTTGTTGAACGACCAGTGCGGTTGATTAGCACCATCTGAACCACCTAATATTACAAACAAAATATAAAACACCAGTTCAACAAACAAACAAAATCAGTATCAAACTAATTGCAAAACAGCGAAATATAACCAAATATCACATTAATAGTGCGACAAAACGTGCAAAGAAACTACTTTCATCGGTTCATATAAACAAAGGTAGAATGTAAATAGCAGTAGACGTTTGATGAAAAACACGTCCGGATGATTCCATGATAGCTAACTACTAACTTATTGTTTTCAAGCCTAACGAAACCCTAAATCTATCATTACAAGATCATTGTGTACATTATGTACAAAAGTAATTCGAATATCAGATAGAAAATTCATTTCACTTTGATCTACTGATCTGTATGTTCACTAAAAATATGACTTATATTGTGGTGCGTGCTACTGATATTGATATAAGTAGTATATTATTCGAGTCAGGAATGTAATGTCTGGCAGCAGAAGATGAGGGAAGATCAAGAAAGCATGAAAGGGAATAGAATGCAATTTGTATGAAAATGTAAGAACAATGAAGTCTGAGGCATTTTGAGACAACTGGTGGACATTTTCCAAATTAACGATTTAATATATTGTTCTCAGATTTTATTGAGATGCTCTGTAATTTTGTGTCAAACACATCCAGTTGTCTCCACCCTTGTTCTGCTCACTACAATATCACCTTAATAAGGTATATCTTCAGTTGTGTTAGAGGTGTGAGATCTGTAGTCACCTGCGGTTATCCACTCTATGATAAGACACTTCTCGAAAGATCTAACATGAAAACTAGACTACATAATATTAATATAGCTCAAATGGGTCACCACTACACACAAGCCCGATCACCATGTTAAGGTAGAGACTATGCTGTAGGAGCAGGTTGTAAGAAAGCTAAGGGTGTCATCAATCCATGAAGGCACTAACTGTCAGTCTAAGTCATGTTCGTAGATGTAGACTGATTAATTAGGGTTTACACAACCATGGTTATTGATATTTGGAGTAGGTATCAGCTCGGGATCAGTCACAATGGCCCAGGTACATCCATTCTTTCTCTTCCTATGGATCACGACTGCTAGCGGTCCTTCGTGCATGGCCTTTCATTTATTGTAATTCTCCTTCTCAAAACATATTCTCAATGTTTAGTTCTAATTATCATTGCCATCATGTGACTCCTACTCCTTCGCTAATTGTATGTTCATTTCGTATCGTCATCCCGGTGTGGTAAGGCAACTTCATCGAACAAGCATTCGTGTCAAGCTATACATTGATTATTACTGGATGTAGGTTCCATAATAAATAATTAAATTAAATTAACTAATTCACTAGGAACTTGAGCACGAGTTACACTCTAATTGTGAAAGCTAATGGAACAACTCAGTTGCCCGAATTGGAGTAAATGGAATGGAGTTTGAACCGAAGGATTAATGACTGAAAGTCGAACGCTGTAACTAATCACTAGGACATCGCTCCCACGTCCCATACAGTAGTTGCAGTTAAACTATCTCGCACTGAAAAATTCATCCGGATTTTATCATTATTCTTTTAAAAATGGAGGTCAAAAGAGCAAGTATTTCTGTCTGGCATTTAATACTATTCTTCATTTTAAGCAGCAAAGTATCGTACTTATGCCTTGTCACTTTTATGAGTTGAAAATACTCTATAATTCACTACACATAACTTGGCAAGTCAGAAATCACAAATAATCACATATTATGATTAATCAATATGAAAATTCTAGACAGATGAGGTCAAATATCTTTTTCTTACAGTGTGTGTGTGTGTGACAGGGTGATTGTACAAAATATGCTCTCTTTAACAAATTCATGACTAGTAACTACTTAAACTATTTGTTAAATAAATAGGTTATCAGCTAAACTTGCCCCTGAAAGCCGTAACACATCAAATGATTCGGTCACGGCTGGTTGGTTGGTTAGTTGGTTGGTACAATAGGAATTCATATCTGCCCGTTGTGTTCTAGTTGTGTTCTAGTCATTAGGCAAAAGATGGAAAGCTTAATCCTGAACTTATAGGCAAAATGTATTGATCTCGGTCGTCATCTCATTGCCATTGAACTACTGGTCATGAGTAAATCATTGTGTCATGCAGGAAATCTAGGCGAATTAATCAATAATTGGACTAGATAGAATAACTGTTCTCAGAATAATAGCTCGATCACACGGTCCTCGACACCATACAAGTATCTGATATTCTGCCGCTACATCAGAAACTACTACCATCAGCGTCACGAGCTCAATATATAGCAAACATCACAACTGGATATTTATTTGCAAAAGGAGTTGAGATTCATGAACTAGCGAAGACTGAATATATATAGAAATTACTGACTATGGGACAAGACTTGATGATTTTATGTTTGAATACAAATCTAATTACATTAGTACAAGTAATCTCAAACTCCTTGATGATTACGGACGAATATAGTCTTACAAGAACAACTGCTATTCATCTGTTATACACCATACTTTATCCAAACAATACAAGGGAGAGTTATGTTTTCGTAGTATGAGTTGCATGTTGAAAGAGAAAGCTCACTTTTCCTAAACCATTGAAGTGAGAAAAAACACAACCTTTTGGCACGATTATCGCCTATACTACCGGGCGTCTACACTCTGTAACCTAAACCTCGACTCTGAATGATCAATTTGTGATCAGCTACTGTATACATGACTGCGTACAAGATTTTGCTTATTTCGGAGTACACATACAGATTTTGACTACCGTCTTGCATGTACCAAGCCTATCCTGCTTGTCGGTAGCTACTCAGCAGATTGTCTTAAACGGGTTGATACAAGTAAATTGACTGTATATCCGATTGCAACCAAATTACGTTTAAGGATGGCTATTAATTTAGTGAAAAACCTAGGCACCCACTAGCCAAGTTTGTATTATTTCAAAAATATGGTCAGTAAAGTCGCTTTAGGCTCTGCTTAACGTCCTGCTTATGAGTTTTGAGTTTCGCAGGCTTCTTACGACTCATTGAAGTATTCCAATCTACTTCACATAATCGTGAGTTTGGTGATACAAAAATGAAATTTCACAAAGCTTGTATAGGGGATCAATAAGCCTAGTGATGTAAATGTGAATTATTTTGAAGTGGAAACAACTGTGATTCATGTGATCCAAATATACGACAAACACCGATGTGGACAAAGAATGTTAATGACTCTACAAAAATACAACAAACACTTTAACGGACACACTCATTTTTAGGTTAATTATAATCACAGTTAGTGAGTAATTAGCAATTGTTACACAGCCCCAAGTGTATGGCAAATGAACGAAGTTCATACTGAATTAATACACAGAATATTATCCGAAAATTAAACAAATAATACACTGAGCAATTATCATACAATATTAAATAAAAGAAATACCATTCAACAAAGTTCACAATCAGTTAAAAACGTAATCTCGCATATTTATTTCGTCTTAATATGTGGACAAAGTGTGCTGATGACTTGAAAGCAGCACATACATTTGGTAATTAACGGAAAATACTCCTACACATTCTGATCACAAGTTACAAGAAGTCTAGTGTCAAAGAAAAACTTTGTGAGGTTGATAGTTAGAGAATTAGTAACCTTCCAAGTTGTCTTGAAAGCTAAGGAGACGACTTCGAGGAATAAATTAACTTCACTATCAGCATGAATTAGATTGCTCATTAACCTGTGACAATAAAAACGCTTATAGAGGCCCGAGTCCTTAAGAAACTCTAGCTTTTAAAGTGTCGCAAACCACCAAGACCAGAAGACCTACAACCGGTTTTCTCTAAGAACGGTAACGAATATGTGGGCAGTACAATGACTAGATTGTTTGAAAGGATCTGGAAATCTGAGAAATTAACGTTCCCATTTTCAAAAAGGGTATACCTAGTTTCTGCGATATTAATCGATGGTATCTATAATGATATACAGATTGTGCAAAATTCATGAATGATTTACTAGTTGGGAGTAGGCTGGTATTCATTTAAATCGCGGATGTATTGAACATATATCGTATCAAATAAATAAATAGACCAAGAAGAGTAAAAGTTTACAACCACCTGTCTGTATTATTGCAGTCCAAGAGTGGAGTTAGACAGAGTTGCACAATGTCACTATTCCTTCTCATCATTGTCTGGACTCTCTTTGTGACGAACTGTCAAAATGGTCGAAATATTCATCCATATTAGTAGTTGCGTGAGTACTAGAAACGTTAGTGGCGACCTGCCAGATGGGATCAACCTATGTATGACGAAAGATAGAGAAGCTTACGATAATGTGGGCCATCTCTGGTACCGTCTTGATGTTAGTCTATCTGTAGTCGGTCTTATAACGTGTCCCTAAGTGCACTTTTGTTTTATACTTGTCAAACTCAGACCTTATGAGCTCAGGGTGCACAACGATTCTTTGTGTTAAACAATCGTTGTTTCCGAAGGATTGCTTGCATCCACTGCGAACACCATGTTAGTAATGCCAATGTCCAGTTATATGTATCCCAGTGCAATGACGATTATACAGTTGATGTTACCATCTTGAAAAACCGATACAGATGGTTTGGCCATGTTTTATGAATGTCGCTCCAGTGAACTCCACATTGAACATTATTTTCCGATGCTAGGGCGGGGTGAGAACAGAGGCAACGGGGTCAGTTTGTAAATTACTCTATGTCATGAAGGACAGCTTCATAAGAACGGTACCTATCAGTGAACAATCCCTCTCAGTATCATTGAGCCGGCATCTAACGGTATTAATGTCTGACCTCAACCAATCCACGATATTGCGCACTGCTAGAGTCCCTAACTAGGACTTCCAAGTTTTCCATGATGGTTCAGCTTAAATCGTCTGACGAATTCAACCATTAAATTACCACAACCTCCACAAACCCCCCATTGTGATACTATTAATTATTTTGTGTGGTTTATTTGTGTTCACCAACAACACCAGAATTAATGTTATTTCGAGTACAGATTATGAAACAGAAATCGATAGACACGAACCATAGGTGACTAGACTAATACGATGCTATTGGATTCATTCGTCAGTTGTTTTTTTTGTAAATTATGAACGTGTTAATACTCTTCAATCATTTTTTCCTATTAAACCCAGTATCTTATTGTAATATATCCTTAGAAACTCAACTGTTCTTGGTTTATATTGGGTTTTCTAAAATTCAATTTTTGTAATTTTGGTACCACATTTTATGTATTGTTGCGCATATAACCTCAAGAATTCAAGACAAATCCATTAAGTATAGATTACTCCATAGAAAGTGTTCATTATATAAGCACTTCTTCAAGATTAAAAATAATATACAGGCAAAAAGAGTACTCTTCAAATAATATTTGAATAAAATTTATTACGTACTTATTTGCTTTTCATTAAGATAATCTACGCAACGACTATTATCCATGGGTCGTTCAGGAGAGCAATTACACATCTGGCTTTCGTTCAATGCAGTACTCTAAAAGAAAAAAAAACAAATGTTAGAGGGAATTAAAAAGGGAGATCATACACGATGACCAAAATGTTAAAGCCCCACTCCCCATTACAGCAAGTGAAAAGGTGTCTACAAATGAATGATAAACATAAAAATCAGTTAGACATACGTAGAAACCGACTACAGCCGTATGTATTGTCTAGTGAATTATGGATGATTAGAAGGTAGCTGATCCGTAGACAAAAATTAAGAAAGTACAAATCTACATAAAATAACAAATTTGAGAATAAATTAAAACTTCTGATTCATTCAAGAAAGAAAAAAGAAACATAAGAAGCATTCATTTTGTCACAATTCTAACTTTCATAATTTCGACTTAATTGCAAACAGACAGACAGATCAAACTATCAAAACAGGTTACAACGAATAATCAGATAAGGAGAAGAAATAATCGTTTACTATCAACTGAATATTATTAAGGCTAAAAACCTTATCAAGCCTAAGAAAGTAAAAAAAAAAGGAAGAAACAAAAATTAGTTTGAAATGAAAGCTACGACGAAACGTTTGGATCAATTCATCAAAGTTTCAATTGCACATCTGTCTCGATAACGATTTTCGTATTATGTCGAGGACCGTGTGATCGAGCTATTATTCTGAGAACAGTTATTCTATCTAGTCCAATTATTGATTAACTCGCCTAGATTTCCTGCATGGCCACTAGTTCAATGGCAATGAGATAACGACCGAGATCAATACATTTTGCCTATAAGTTCAAGATTAAGCTTTCCATCTTCTTTTGTCTGATGACTAGAATGGAATAAGAACACAGCAGACAGATGAATTCCTATTGTACCAAACAACCAGCCGTGACCGAATCATTTGATGTGTTACGGCTTTCAGGGGCAAGTTTAGCTGATAACCTATTTATTTAGCGAATAGTTTAAGTAGTTACTAGTGTCATGAATTTGTTAAAGAGAGCATATTTTGCACAATCATCCTGTCACACACACACACACACACTGTAAGAAAAAGATATTTGACCTCATCTGTCTAGAATTCTCATATTGATTAATCATAATACGTGATTATTTGTGATTCCTTACTTGCCAAGTTATGTGTAGTGAATTATAGAGTATTTTCAACTCATAAAAGTGACAAGGCATAAGTACGATACTTTGCTGCTTAAAATGAAGAATAGTATTAAATGCCAGACAGAAATACTTGCTCTTCTGACCTCCATTTTTAAAAGAATAATGATAAAATCCGGATGAATTTTTCAGTGCGAGATAGTTTAACTGCAACTACTGTATGGCACGTGGGAGCGATGTCCTAGTGATTAGTTAGGGCGTTCGACTTTCAGTCATTAGTCTGATCCCGAGCTGATACTTCCAACTTATTATTATTTGAACACATACATATTGGTAGAAGGAGGCACCAAATACATACAAGCCACAGAAATCTCATTTGAATTATTTGAGGGATGTGATACTTCTCGGGTGCCCAAACCGAAGCATAATCGTGAAAACCCTAATTAGTCAGTCTACATTTACAAACATGACTTAGACTGACAGTGGGTGCCATCTCGGATTGATGACACCTCTAGCTTTCTTACAACCTGCTCCTACAGCATAGTCTCTACCTTAACATGGTGATCAGGCTTGTGTGTAATGGTGACCCATTTGAGCTATATTAATATTATGTAGTGTAGTTTCCATGTTAGATCTTTCGAGAAGTGTCTTATCGTAGAGTGGACAACCACAGGTGACTACAGATCTCACACCTCTAACACAACTCAAGATATACCTTATTAAATTGATATAAGTCATATTTTAAGTGAATATACAGATCAGTAGATCAAAGTGAAATGAATTTTCTATCTGATATTCGAATGACTTTTGTACATAATGTACACAATGATCTTGTAATGATAGATTTAGAGTTACGTGAGGCTTGAAAACAATAAGTTAGTAGTTAGCTATCATGGAATCATCCGGACGTGGTTTTCATCAAACGTCCACTGCTATTTACATTCTACCTTTGTTTATATGAACCGATGAAAGTCGTTTCTTTGTATGTTTTATCGCACTGTTAATGTGATATATAGTTATATTTCGCTGTTTCGATACTAAATATGTGATATGCATATTTCGGCTGGACACATTACATTAGTTAGGTTATAGATATTTATCTGAATTAGTTTTTTAAGGAATATCAAATCGCATTTATACTAGGAAAGTAAGTAGTTCCAGAGCTAAGTTGATACTTGATAACATTTTATATACGACTACTGGAACTCGGAATCTGTTATATTTAAAAAACAAGCATTCCGTTTAGATTGTGTCTTTTGTGTCAGTTTATTAATTTGGTTTACTCTGTTATATTAATTAACATTGTAGCTCGAACTGACACTTGCTATTTCAGTTATATATTTAACTAATCTGTATAACCTATGCAAACGATCAGTTACATAATATGGTCAATGTAAATGCATTTCAGAATTCTCATAGCATTTTAACTTTTATCTACCTTTCAAAGCGTCAAATTATAGGAATCTATAACGTGCATAGTAATCATAAATAAAAACAATTTGCAACCCATTTTATTCGTTTTTACAATAATCTCACATACTATTGCTGAGCCTATGAATCGATAGGGTATATTTATATATATACATATATATATTATGTACAGTTAAACCTTTTCAATAGGACTGTATTTTTTGTCACGTATTCTAATGAATATATAAAAGATTTATACTAGAGGATATGAATAAATTAGTCGAACAAAGAAAATTACTTAAATAGTTAAGCTTATGAGTCAATTGAAGCTAGACTACCATAAAAAACCCGAAAGCACTGGATGGCCGTTTCGTCCTACTGTGGGACTTCTCAGCAGTGCGCATCAACCACCTCGCCCCCCGCGAGATTCGAACTCAGGGACTACAAGTCTCGAGCGCGAGCGCTTAGATAAATTCACAATCAATCATTTCCATTCAAAAACGAATAAGAAAAGGAATATCATTCTAAAATGTTGGTATGATATGATGTAGAAATAATAATTTCTTGAATTTACACGAACGCTCGACAATGAACTTAGTGACAGAACTGATATTTAAACCTCATTAACAGATATATCTCAAATCACGAATGGAGTGATGACCTAAATCTGCTTTCTTTAAAAAAATTTTATTCATCTCATAGAACATGAGTTTAACTACAATAAATAGACAACGGGAACTAATCAGAAAAGCCAAAAATGTTTAGATCCGTTTTTTCTTATTGATCTATAACTTCATCATGAACTATTCAAATACAGGATTGAAATAATTTGAAAACGTCATTCATTTTTACTAAACAGTATTTGCTTGTGCACAAAAGTGTGAGCAACCACATGTGACTACGAGCCTCATACCACCAACGCAAGTTGAGATCTATCTTATTCGGCCTATATAAGTCATATTTTTAGTGAATATACAAATCAGTAGCTCAAGGTTCAATTTTAAAGCAGCTTTGTCAAACATAAAGTCTAGAACTAACTAAAGTTCAAGTCAGAAAACCAGGTAAATGGATACGTCCCAAAATGGCCTGGTATGGCCGAGAGTGGGGAGGACCCTCCCTCCATCTCAAAATGCTCTCACATGGCCACGCATATACAGCCTCTGCCAAGAAAGTCCTACTCACTGCCTTCTCGTGGCGAGGCTGTTGTTTACGAAAATGAGAGGACGAAAAGCGAATGTCCAGGGCTTTAACCGGATCCCAAATCAATGGAGCACATGGGCTCCAGTATCCTAAAGGATAAAATGGCGTATGAAACGATTTTCGGTCAACGGCTACCATAGAACTGCATCTCCTCACGATGCTCCACTGCCTTGTGGATCAGACTTTTAGGTCAAAGGCCCGGGGAAGGCCCCCTAAGAAAACCACCTGCTTCGGCCTGGGCACCCGTGCAGTATCACAGCCCACACACAAATGGAATGAAATGATATATATATATATATATATATATATATATATATATATATATATGTATTTGTGTGGTAAATGAATACACTTACATGTTGACGCTTCAACTTCCGTCTAGACATTTTATTTTGGCAGATGATGGTAAGCCGCTCAGTTAAGAAAAATATATAAATGCCTAGTAGAGCTATGAGTGCCTCCAAAATCATTTTCCGGTGCGAGCTGAGTTGTGTTGATGATATAGATTCGTGGTGATGTTCGTCAATATGTTCATGAACAATATTAGTTTCGTGATCATGGTTGTGATGGATATGTCCGGCACCAGAAAAAGCCTGAAAACAAGAAAATTATGAACTGAATAGATGTTGTCGTCCAATGAGAAAAAACAAGCGATAACCTGTCGATACAACAGTATTACCTGGTGTCAATAATAGAAATTAATTACTAGCTAGTTCATACTTCAAGTGATGTAAACTAATCACCAGCTGATCATTAACTCAAAAACATAAAATAAACTCATCAATAAACCTCATGAACTATAAGCATATACAAAATTGCTTCTTAAGTGATCAGTCACATCGAAATGCTTCAAATATTAGTGGATCCATCCTACGAGATTATAGGAAACAACCGACTGATAGCTGCTTCTATATATGAAAACCTACTGAAAAAAACTAAGAGCAAACAAAGTCGAATGACTGGTAATCAGAGAGACTAAACAATGGACCACTAAAACTCCATATACTTCGAAATAAAAGGTCACTACATACCCAATGAACCTCTCAATTTAAAACTTTAAACTTTGTTTTGGCCTATACATTTGCTAGTGATGAATGGACAGAAATACACACATCTAGAGACTCGTTTTTGATTTCTAAGCTTCTTGTTTACATAACAGTATTTAACATTTTAATAAAGATACTAATTATTGTGACACGAGATACACTTATCACTAAAATGAGCCTTGAATATATCTGTCTGCACGAAACCTCAACACATACTGTGACTAGATTACTTTAATGCAACTATTTTCTTGTTCGTAACTTTAGATTCTTTTGAAAAATAATGATTGATGCCTTTGTAAACTACATAGATTTAAACTATAACTTTACAACGTATTTAGCCACTAAGTTAGTTCTTGTACCAGTCGGATAGCTCATTGAAACAAGCAAATATTCACAAATTCCCAATTTATGTTAATTATAATTATCTGTCAGTTTACATGCACTGGAAGAAAACCAAAGAGAGTTATTGTCAACATCTCGGAGCTTTCCACAAAAACAGGACATATCCTTATGAGTGAGATTACTCGTCATTCGGCTGACAGTGGATGTGATGTTGTCTCATAATTCTTTAGGATAGCCAGTAAACCAGACTTGGATTTTATTATGACTTGTTGAATTTGTTGTTACAAAAAAATTTAATCCAAATCTCGGCATCCAAACAAACAGTTACCAGTATTATGTTGTCCTGATGATCTTATTTGAGTGAACCTTTACGTGATATTTTTTCCATGGCCCCAAATCACAGTTCCTTACTTCTCATCTATGCTGTGCTCAGTCAATTTCCTTAAGTACTGCATAAACTATGACGTAAACTCCGCTTTCTAAAAACCTTGTTTCTATGTTATTCTTAGTGTCGTCTTTTAGAATACTCATGTATTTAACCTACAAATACACAAATCTTTGAACAATCATTCGGACATGAAGTATACATATTGTTTCCAGGTTGTAAACAGACGGAGAAAATCTATGAAATGAATGTTACGTTCTGATACAATCGTTCTCTTTAATTTATTGAAACAATTGGAGTTATTCATCAAGTATCTTCCTGATATTCTAAAAAGCATTCTGAAAAACAATTAGAGAATGGGACACGTCTAAAACTGTATTATTTTACGCGTTTTCTGGATGACGTGAGGTTTGATTGTTAAAATCATTGGATAGAATGCTGATCGATAGACGAACGCGATGATATAATGTGGCTGAATGATGGCTACTCACGAGACCGTATAATTAACTTAAGTTCTCGAATGATTACAGATCAAGGACAAGACCATTAGCCGGATAAATGGTTCTCCATTTAATAAATAATACGATTATATTCGAAATATAGACACAAAATAAACATGATAAAATGTCATAGGTGATTGGAGGAAATTAATTTGTAGGTCATTCGTTCTCCAGTCAATTAAGACTTGACTTTAAAGCCTACACTTTGAGTATCGTATCAAACTGACAGTCTTACAATCCAGGGAGCCGAGTCTGTGTGCCCGAATGCTACAGTTGATAAATAGTGATATAATCGAAGGAACAGGACGATAAAAGTGTCGTTTCATTGTAAATGAAAACTTCAGTCGAAATGTACATAAACTCACTTATAAAGACATAAATACAATATATCATAAGAGTCTAGAAGCTCAACATACGTAAACGTTTTATCAAACAAAGCTGTTGAAATTTTTTTGTTATTATATTAAACACGCTTACATGAGGTATTAGGTGAAGAAAAGCGTCACCAGCAAGTGACCCAACTGCAAGCGCTATAAGGAATTGAGTTACAACATTGTAAAAACTTCGGGACATTAGAGGTACCAAACATACAACAATAAGTCCTGAAAAGCTCACCAAAAGCACAGCACCGATTGCAGCTAGAAAGGCTAAAAAATAAAGTGATTAAAAACTAATGAGCCAAAGAACTCACGTAAATACGAAGTAAACAAATTCCCGCATTTACGATACAAAACATAAACGTGTTTGATATGTTGAAAAATAAATCATTTTACAATCCTCATATGTCTACACATATTGAACTTGTAAGCAAGTTACTACACAGAAACGAATTCAATAAAAGCAGTATAACAGACCTGAGGGAAAACAAGAAACAACATTTTCTGTTCTTAAAGGTCCATTACTTTGACCCACGATTCAAAATACATACATAAACGGATAAGCATTCCTGAGTTTTAAGAGATTTAGAACGGATAACAGAAATTATCGACATATGTTCTAAAATTTCAGTTAACGTATGATATGCCGCAAATATATCTGAAATCGCTGAAAAACCCGACAATCAGAACGAGAGGGCATCATCGTATTTAAGTCGAAGGTACGTAATATGAGGTCTAACGGGAAGCTAAGTATGAGAAATATAGTCAAAACAGAAAGGGGATTCCAGATATAAGAGCACGAAATAATACCAAACTCAAGATGAAGAGAAAGACAGATAATGAATGCAATTATATTTATTTGAACTCATAAATATTGGTACAAAGGGGCACCGAATACTTATGAGCCACACAAGTCACTTGATTTGTGTGTGGGCTGCGATACTACCCAAGTTCCCAGGCCGAAGCGATTGGTTTTCTTAGGGGGTCACGTCCGGAGTCTTTGACGTAAAGGTCCAATGCACAAGGCAGTGGGGCAACGTCAGGAGATGCAGTTCCATGTTAGCCGGTGGTCAATAATTGGTCTGTACGACATTTTTTCCCTAAGAATACGGGAGCCCATGTACACCATTGGTTTGGAATCAGGGTTTTCCAACTTCCCTGAATAGATCCTCCATATCTACCAACCCAATTAAAGCACAGGACATTCTCAATTTCGTAAACAACACCCCCGCCGCGAGAAGGCAACGAGTAGGACTTCCTTGGCAGCGGTTGTAAACGCGTGGCCATGTGAGAACCTTTCGAGAAAGAAAGCTGACTCTCCCCAGCGTCGGCCGTACCAGGGCATTTGAGGGTTAAAGAGATATGAATTCGTGAGAAATGTGCCAAGACGAGAAAAAAGAACGAGAATTTAAATCTTGGTAATAAATGAACACAAATGCGTCGCCGAAATGAAATTTGACTTATCAAATAACGTTTGCAGCCGTATATTAGGGCTACTGAACAAGCCCAAACTAAAAAGCTCACATACACTAACAGTTGAGAGCAGTTTATGTCTTTAGGGGGTGATAATATATCTTCAATCGCACGTTGCTACCGACTGGCTAACCTACTTCTACGACAGTCAGCAGTGGATTGAACATGCATTACATATGTCTTAACCACCTGAGTCGATAAAGGTCTGTAGCCTGAACAGTTGACTTGGCATTGTTAATTGATACTCCACAACGAGTCCCAACACTACTTATGACATGATACTACGTTATGTGACTAATGTCTAGAATGCACCTATGATAAGATACTACCAGTCCACACATAGATCCTACTTTTATCGACAACTTGATGGTAATAAATACTGAGCACACAGTATACTTGTTGCTTGGTTGGTAGACGGGCAAGATTTAAGTTGACAAAATCAGGAATTTCCAATTTCACGGTACAATATCAAAATAACGGTTATCATCTGTATAAATTTCAATTTATAAATACTAATTTTGTGACTGAAGAGATGAATTCGTGAGAAATATACCAAAACGAGAAAAAGAGAACGTGGAAAGGACGAGGATTTAAAATTGAGGTAAAAATTTATTTTGAATTAAGGTCGACTTACCTTTCCAACTGAACTCGTGCGTTGAAGGAACTACTTCGTGTACATGACTGTGCTTACAAACTCCAGTTTTTAACTCATAAACGATAGTCGGCAACAACGCATGAAAATCCGTTTGGTTTAGATGTGAGTGATTGGGAGAAAATAAATCGAACATTTCACTTGCCGTAAAACACTAAATAGTATAGATGTAAAGGTAACATGTTACTAAGTTGTTAAGAACTACTAAACAACTTGTAGAATTGAAGAAATCGAGGCACACCTAAGTTCCGCTGAAAATTAAGTTTATAGAAGCAAAGAACAATTTGGCATTCAGTAAGCCATAAGATCATATCCTACAGCCTAGCTAAATCCACATTATCTAGAGTACAATAAAGTTTATTTAAACAGGGCTTGGTGATTGAGAAAAATTAACACACCACTGGATGACAAATCGTATATCATTAAACCTGAAATAAATAAGGAAAACCATAAACGTTCTGACCACATGTACATGTTCAAATCAGGAAACCCAGATAGCGAGACCTAGCTATACTCAGAAAGGCCTATCATATCCTGGTAGACTAGGTGTGATAGAGCAAACAATCTGACTTTTATTCGGGACTGAAAATGGATTTTAAAATCTCTGGATGTTACGATACACACAGTAAACGATGGATAAGAAATCTATTGGAACGAAAGTGGTCCGAAAACGAAGATAACCTTTCCACTGTTAGTCTCTATAGCATTAAACAATCTTCGGACAAGAACCAATAAAACTGAACTCACTTTACACCACAAACAGCCACACTGTACACACGGTTTAAGCGCAAGAAATTCTTTTTGGAAATTACTAATATAACATAACAAAACAAAACGTTTTAATCACACGGGAAAGTGAAAACTTCTGCACAGCGAAGTACCTCGTTGTTTGTGAAGTCTATTACATGATCTACATGACGATAGTCTGAAGATCCTGCAAACGGAAGAACCATACATAGATTTGAAGAGCGAGTGTATCTTGATGTTACACAACAATGTAAAACTGTATATGCACGAAGAGAAGAGAACATTTAAAGAATGAGCTGCATCAACAAGGATAAAGGGAACGACGACGAATGGTAGAAGAGTAACGTGCAAAATACTTAGATAATGACAAAAACACTACGCAATCTAAAATGAAGTTATACGTAGAAAACGTTGATGCATAAAGCATCGCGATTTTCTCAAAACCTATGAAAATTTCGGGGGCTTTGTGCCTTTTCTCAAAAACTTCGAAGTTTTCTACTGCGGCTTCCCCAAAATTTACCAAAAACGGACAAAATAGGGAGATTTTGAGCAAAATGTTTGGTAATTGTTCTTCAGGAAACGTATTTACCAGGATCAAGCTGACTAATTGGCAAGTTATGTCTATTAATATCAGTTCATGAAAATGCATGAGATATCCCGTAAGTGATGTCATCTATGACTAACCTTGTCTTCTTTGGAATCGTTCTCATGTGGATATTCTTCGTACAAATGCAAGGACCTCAGGAAATTCGCGAGCATTTCTTTGTCCATATACTTGCTATCATTTGTAAGTGATGCAAACAACACACTTGAGTGTTGATTTAACGTAGCATCACGATCATGACAGTGGGCACACGGAATACGATACTCAAATAGAGTGTATATAGCTAAGCATATGCATAATTTTTGGTGAATACGACGGCAAAATCCCACACCACACATCAATACTATGCACAAATTAAAAACGGGCTGTAGCTGGTAATTGTAGAGTAGGAACCCAGAAAGTTAACTCCTAGCACGGAAACAGTACAACCTATGCGCCAGAGCTGGTCCCAAAATTTGATTGCACTACTTGAACATTAGGTACATTAAACAAAATTGAGTCCAATACCAAGTGATTTCATGACAAGATTATATAAGCCGATAGATTTCTTTGTGATCGCTTCTTGTTGTTTCGGTACGATTCCGGACTATTGGTAGTCTAACAACTACACTAGTTCTAGACATTTTGGTAGTTATTTGTGGGTTTATTTATTTTGTAACCTTAGTGGATGCGTTTGTATCAGGGCAGTGTGGTTTCCAGAGATGGCGAGTATTGAATTACCCGACAAGATGTTGGTTCGTTGCAATGTGAAAAGTAATATAGTGAAGACCCAAATACTCAATAGCCCAGTGTAGACGATCGTTTCAAGAAATAAATAAAGTTTAGTAAATGGTAGTCCTGACGGTATGAGAAGGCCGAATTTCAAGAAAAAAGACAGAAGCGATAACAGACTAGAAAGGAATAAGTTCGTAGAGTGTAATGATCACAGTTAATAAGTTGCGCTACATGTGTCTGGTTCAGAATGTCCGAGAGAGAGATTGCATTACATGGGTCAATACTTGTTTGTCAAGTCTCCTCACAAGCTATCCACCGATGTGGATGTGGTCACTTCAGCTGAGATAGAATTTCAGATAAGGGAAACGCGTCCTAAGGACATGTGGGTGCATACCTGGGTTCGCGCTCTTTGATGTACAATTTCCAGGGGGCTGAGTCGAGGAGCATGTCCTGGTCGGATGTTCATGTTAGAGCAACTTGACGAATTACGTGTGTTAGACACCACTATCAGATCACTTATCCTTCCACAGGTCAGCGGGCATAGTCTCAGATATCTGGATCTATATTCGTAAGATTTCCTCCCTAGTTCTATCATCCACTTCTTTGCCCATTATTAGTTTTCGTGATTTATGTCTCTTTCAAAGAATAGGGTCGCAACGACATTGCGGAATTTAAGGTGGTCCTCCATATCTTTGCATTGTCTGCGTAACTTAGTACCGCAGAACTTATTTTTTCTTAAATGTCATCAATGATGATTGGGTAGAGTAGTGGAGATGACATATTCTCTTTTGAATCTCCTGGTATTGAAACCCAGAAGGTTGTGTGCACCCATTATACGTTGGTACTAAACATCCTGTTCCCTGGTAAGTTTCGGAGCCAAGATAGGAGTGGGTCGGAGAAACTTATATCTACGACCTAATCTATGAAGAGTGCTTGGGACACAGTATCAAACGCTTTCGAGAAGTCAACGAATAGTAAATGGCCTGGTATCGTTTAACCCAACATTCTATGAGTAGATGGGATGCACAAGACCTGACCTATCTAAATCCGTTCTGAATTCATTGAGGACGTTACGTTTGCCCATGTATCCACTCATTTGGTCGTTGGCTAGTTCTTCCACTAGCTTCGATATTGTAGACGAATAGAGAAATGGTATTCTGTTTCTATTATTCTGAAAACTGTTGTGAGGTGTGGGAGCACTTAAGTCTCCGTTCTCTAATGCCCGAATTTTATGAGGTGCCTTTAGGTAAGTGACAGTGGTATTCTGATAATGTCTATACTGAGATTCCCTGGCGTACCTAGTGTCTCGCATATCCATAAAGAATACCCAATGCCTTCGCAGGTCTCAGAGAAAATAAACCAAAAAACTGGGATTCTCCAGATGAACAAACCCTGGAACAGCTAAATACTGGCTCAAAATCACCAATAATTTCCAATAACTCACGACCCTAAAACTACTAAAGTCTGACTCACAACTCTAATATACTGACCTTAGTAGCTCATCCCACAAGAAAACTAACATGATATGCTATCGCAAAACGAAATTTCATGGAAATAGTAAGCAACAGCAACAAGCTGTCCTCAAAAGCGTTTTCAACTCGCGCTGGCAGTTCAAGCTACGAATAAAGTGGCGTCAGTATGTGAAACCCATCTTCTTGACCTTCACTGTGGAAAGTGAGTACCGTTGCGTGTTAAAAGCTTACATGGTGTCTGTGGATATAAAATAGACCAGTATCGTTCGGTCTCAGCTGTTACTCAGATTCTCCGTTCTATAAGAAGATTGGACACACATAAATTTTCGTTCCTAAAACTACTTAAGGCTTCGTAGTGAACATTGTTTTCGTCCATCCATTCCCTTGATCAATCATTAACCAGTTTCTTCAATAGTATTGAGAGTAATGTGACTGATCTACAGCAAGCTGCTACTTTCCTATCTCTTGCTTTGAAGGTTTGAGAGACAGTAGATTGTTTCTAATACGTTGCTGTGACTCTAGCGAGTGCCTGAACTGCTCGCATACTGATGAACTGACTGCTTTCGTGCGTTGTTTCGGAATTTCAGGGAGGATTTTGTTATATCCTGATGATTTTGCTGAGCTCATGCACTTTAGTTTTGCAAGTGCTTACCTGGCGTGGGATGGAAAGTTCTTAGGCCACCGACTCTCATCAGAGTTGGGGAGTGTTCCACTTTTATGTGATTCTGATTGAACCAATTAGTGAGGTTGGGAGTTAAGATTTCAGCCATCTCATGGTTGGTAAGATCTTCACCGTTATGCACTTCGAGGGAGCCAACTCACCTGTTTTGTAGGCTTTTGTTTAGACAACAACCTATAGAGATGTTTTGGGTTGGCTTGTGCTTTGACTGCTCGCTTGGTTCGTATATATTTTATGTCGCCTCGAACATGGATGTCACATTTATTTCTCAATGACAGGTAGGAGTTGTTATCAGAATCAATAAGGCAGCTTTCCATTTATGCTGGGCTCTCCTTTTAAGACATATCAAGTGTCCTGTGCCTCGTTTCAGCCAAGATATTCACTTTTCAGGTGTTTGCTATGCTTAAGATGCTTTGATAATGACAGACTCCCGAATAGTATCCCTCCCTGTCCCCAGTGGTCATCCAGTGTTAGTTTCCAACACTCGTGGCTATGGAGCGGTTGAACGTGATCCCTCATGATCGTGCAGCCTTTCAGGTTGTGGCAAATGTAGGGAGCGTCCTCGCCTCTCCGGAGAACCTCGTTTGCGATCTTGTGGATTGTGACGTCATCGTATCACTACCACTGGTCAGCCCCGGGATGTGGACATCCTCGATTGGAAGTTGGTCATTTGATGGCACACGACTTAGTCTAGAATGATTCTTGTCCTTCCTCATCTCGTGCTGTCACACCCATATGCAGGTAGACTGGATACTCGTTCTGACCTCGCCGGTTAGAAATAGCAGGCCTAGAGCCTTGGAATATGAAACATTATATTCAATCCCATTGTTATCGACAAAGAAACCATGAAGCAAATTCCTGAATGTAAATAATTGCTTCCAAGTTTGAAACTAACTGAAAACAAAACCAAATAGGAAGTCAGCACCTTTGATATCTGTTGTCGCACCAAATTTTCGATCGATGCGTATAGTATTCAAACACCATATCATTCGAATTACCAGCCAATCATCCAATGAATGACTCGATTGCAGCATCAGACTATACACTGGTATGGGATGCAGTGTATGGCATAAAAGTACCAGCTTCTGTCGGAAACGTACTCTAGTAGCTATGAAAACATCAATGCCAATAGGTAGAAGACCATGAATGCATATGTTATAACTGTGTAATTATGAATAAAAGGCAACATAATGCACAATTAAACCATCATTTCATAAACATATCACAACTGTATTCACGTGAAATCCTGTTTTCAAGCTAGTGTCTGTTCTTAAAGACTAAAATCCGTTCCGGATTGATCCATCAATCCAAAATATCATGCAACACATACAAAACTATCATTTATTCCTCTACTTCGAAGACCAACGTTCGTTAGTGTATGAATGGGTTGGAAAAAACCAAAAAATGGACAAATAAAATAGCGGCATTAATTCCTTAACATGGGAACCATAAACGTCTGGATAATATGAATGCGTTCTACCAACTGACTTCACATTGAAGCTGACAGTTTAACTACCAATATATTACTGCTTCGCTTTGCCAGTGGAAACACCAAAACATTTGTGAAGTAACAAACTTCTTAAGATAAGCAGATTGCTATATAATGTAATTGAACTGTCCAGGAAATAAAATATCAAAGTTGTCTTGTGAATTATATTTATTTTTGATATCAAAGAAAACTTTTATACAGTGGAACACAATTTAATGGATGGTAAATATCTATATTGTTTCTTATTACCTTTGTATTACTGTCCAGAAACTAACATTTCGATTCCAACTTATATCTAGCTGATTGACGTGAAGTACAGCCAAGAAATGAGTTAAGTCTAGGTAGTCCATTAGGTCCAAACACATGTACTGATTCCGATGAATTTTCTGAATTAAACGGATTTATGGTGTTCAGTGCATTGATTAACCAACCTTCTGTAGTATCAGAAGTAGGGTGAATAGGACCATCATCCCAGATCAGATCGAAATCGCCAACACGTTTCTCAAAACTTGTTAAACGACCCTCCAAATCCACAACGTCCAGCATATCATTCAAAAGATTAGTCTGGAAAGTAGATTTTATATTAAAAACTGAAACATTCAAAATAACTGGGTTTTTTCTGTGAATAGAAAGAATTACAGGGTCAAATTTTCGTGATACATAGAGTAAATTGTCACACAATTCCAATGAAAGAAAAACATTTGAAGTTGTAAGATTGTTGATGATTACAAATAAACAGTGACTGAATTCAAATTGTTGCTGATACATGTGTGGGAAATTATGAGCGCGAATTCGATTGCAGAAGCTCCGAAATTGTGGGTCATGGGAACTCTAAGAACCTCGAGGAAATTTTAGAAGCATGACATTCAAATCAGTTGGTGATCAGTGACCGTAACGACTACTACCATATGTGGAGAAGTTCAATCGATCATAGTATCAGAGATCAACGGAAGAAGATAGTCATTCAAGAGCAAATGTAGCAAACATAACTAATGATTACCAATCACAAACGAGGCAGTTAGACCTAAATGATATGAAGCTTGTGGATTAACTCCACCGAAAACATTTACCTCAGCTTGAAATTTCTCTCATTATTTTAAAAGGTATTATGCTTGCTCAGAAGAATGTTCACTAAATAGTCACAAAGGGAACCATAAATGGACTAATCTGCTGAACTTGGACACATTGTTATGCAGATGTTTTACTAATCAAACTATGAATCTGTCTGCAAACAGACATAATGAAGCAGTGAAAAAGATGGATAACACTTTATACTTCTACATCTTGATAGACGTAAAAACAACTTTGTTGAAGCAAAACTGTCTCCTCTAGTATTTTGAAAGTAATTAAAATCTTGATTCTACTAGGTATGGACTGTAGTTGCGAATTATAAGCAAAGATAGACATTGGCTATCAGTGGAACACAGGACGCTAGTCACGCACTATGTGACATTCGTCAGTTGGATGTAACTGTAACTCAGAGATGATATCTACTCCCGTGTTCGAACAGTGTACCGTTCGCTTCAAACACCATCGTGTTATCCACTTAGCTGCTGAGTCCTGATATCCACGTGCTTGTTCAATGAGGTAAATTTTAAAGTGTTTTGGTGTTGTTTACCTGAATCTTCCCACTGATGTTTAGAACTGCAATTGATCAGTATTTTAATGGCATATCTGCATACTGTGCTTATTGCCTCGACATTGCCTTAATTCACGAGCATTACAAGCAAAGGTGGATAGTGGCTAGTGGTGAGGAATTTAAACTTCACCCCATTTCACAAACAAGTGGATATCAGGACTCAGTAGCTAAGTGGACGACGCGATAGCGTTTGAAGTGAACGGTACTGGGTTCGAGTCTCAGAGTGAACACCAACTCTGAGATGTAGGCACATCCGGGTAACGAATCCCCAACGGGACGAAACGTGCGTCCTGGATCCCACAGTTAGCCATTATCAATTTTTTCTTAGAATGATTGTAAGTTAAGGCAATATTGGTGTAATCAGTACAGGATTCATATATGCCAATAAGATACTGATCATTTGCAGTTATAAACAGCAATGGGAAGATTCAAGTAAACGACACCAAGTGAATTTTATAACCCACTATATAATTATCATTCTCAATATGGTTTTGTTGATATTCTTGTTTAATTTTTCAACCTTTGAGAGGTCTATATTCAGTTTGTGAATAGAAATAAAGTAAATTTAACATTCGTCCATGTTATTGTTTCATAACTTATTGTCATTAGCAAGTATACTATGGGTTGTATTTGTAATAAAAAGTATGCATAGGAGAAGGAAATCCCATAGAGCTGAACCATCTTTTTACTTAATGTTTCATTCAATTTAGAAGATTGACACACATTCTCTAACTTTAGACCATTGACTATATAAGGATAATTTTATGTAATACTACCACTGAGTCAATTGAAATATGATAATCTACAGGATCGATATTTTGCTTCTTATTGGTGTCCTGTCTGTTAACTGAAGCTTAGTGTTTTATTGAATTACAACGATGGATGGCTAAATATTAGCAGTCAGTCAGTAACAACGTGGAACTTCGTACTTACGTACATCAGTTCGAGTTGCCATACCACATTAGCACAGAGATGCAGTGGTCGATTCAAATCCCGTAGTGGTAGAGGTAGTAAAAGTACAAGCAGTAATCGAAAGCATTAGGGTCTGAAAATGTTATTCAACGAGTATTATCCAGTGAAATAAATTTGGAAAGAGGAAAAAGAAAGCGAGATGAAAAATTCAGAAGATTAGAGAACACAAGGAGTGGATGCACCTGCGCACACCATTGTAAACGATTTTGGGCCATGTCATTCAGGGTCGCTAACCATTGGTTGCTATCATCTCGCGGTCCCCAACCAGGTAGTCTACACCTACCAACATGACTCAGTCCACTTGTCAGTGACTTCATGGACTTATGCCATGTTTTGGTCTGGCCGCCCCTAGCTTTCTCCCAATCTACTCCTATACAACAAAACATCGCACATCGAGGCAGTCGGTCGTTGAGCATACATAACACGTGTCCCAGCCATCTCAACTGATGAAGTTTCACTACGTCATCAATTGATTTGCCATCCTCACCTAGTACCCGTTTCCTAACAACTGCATTACTCACTCCATGGTCCCAGGATATACGAGCAATATTTCGAAGACACCTATGATCAAATACTAGTAACCTACGATTATCCTCTACTTTTACCGGCCATGTTTCACTGTCATAAAGTAGGACGGAGCGAACTGCTGCACAGTAAACCCGTCCTTTGGTTGATAGACAGATATCTTGCCTACGCCATAAATATTAGCAGGGAATGATCCACAAGTCTCAAGGCTTAGCTGCGTAATCGTTGTGCTAAAAATTGAATTAAGTCATTTATGTTAACAAACTAGTTAATCAAGCTTCAACAAGAATTGTAGAATATGGAAATCTGAGATCTTAGAAGAGTCCTTTCATATCTTATGTGCAACTTTTTCTACTATATCACCGAAAACATTAAGCATATCTTAGTAAATTACACTTTTTGGTTAAACTGAGTTATTTCTGGAATTTCTAGTTTCTACTATAATTCAGTCCTTGAAGTCACTAACTTCTAGTCTGATCCATGTTGATAGATGCAGACTACTTGGTTGAGCTCCGTGTGACTATCGTAACCAAAAGTAGGAGACTCTTGGTGACATGGATCAGAATCGATTACAATGGCGTATGTGTATACACTCTCTGTGTTCCCTTAAACCATGAGATTAAAATCGCTTCATATCTTTCTTTCTACGTACTAATTCTTTCTTTCTGTATCATATTCTTATATGCAATCTTTCTTTTATATATTACTACCATTGAAGTAATGGGTGCTATGAATTTAGTGATAACATTGTTGTGCTAATGAGGTGTACCAACTTGGACCGATACATTCTACATTGTAGCTGACTGACTATAATTCAAATTCACTTACTTTTAATGTATAATCTTCTTTAGATGAAGCTGTCAATGATGGACATGCATTAATTTCTAATAACCATGGTCGTAAATTATCATCAAGTAATATATCATAACCATATAATTCAAAGCAACGTTTATCATTGATAATAATCTTTTGAACACTTAATAAACTTCCAATAAATATTATATCCACTTGATGAAATAACTCGGCAACCTACAGAAATACACAAATACACACATATATATATATTTGAGCAGAGCCACAACAGGAATGACTGATTTAAAGGTGAGACGAGTGTGGTGTATACTACTGATGTCGACAGATATAAGTAGTATATATCATTAACCGAAAGTAAAAGATTAAGAAGATCAAAACAAAGCGAACGAGAACAGAGAATGATTGGTTTGGAAAAGAAGAATCAATCAAGTCTGAGACAATTGATTAACATTTTACAAATGAAGTATTTACTGTATGATACTCAGATTTTACTAAGATGTTCTGTAATTTTATATTCAAATACATTCAATTGTCTTCAATTGTGTTCTTGTTCACTACAATACCAGAGCTCAATTTTAATCATAATCATATGTGGTATTATGTATGCGCATTGCTGATGAGTCCTACGAAATGATCATCCTATACTTCTAGATTTTCATTGGTGATCTTCTCACTGATCAGTTCATGATCTCAAATGAAAAGAATATTGATTGATCAATATAACAGTATGTTAATATTATATGTTATTCATTGAGTTGAATGGTTCATTTTAATTCATTAAAAAACAATAGTTACTATTTCTAATTCACAGCCCTCAAAGGCTCTAGTACGGTCAAGAGTGAAAAGAAACAGCTCTTCCTTTCAAAATACTCGCACATTGCCACGTACGTACAACCACCGTCAGGGAAGTTCTGAAAATATGATAGTTTTAATGTTTTTAGTAGTGTATTTCTAAGAAAAGAAAATCTCTAACTTCAAAACCAACTTAGATCAATACAATGAGTGTCTGTATTCGATCTCTGTTAAGTTCATGTATGGGCGCTGTCAAATAGTTCCTTACTTACTAACACCTGTTCTCTCCTACAGTGGTTTGTTGCTAATAGTGTCTGGCTAACGGATCCGAAATATTTTGCGTAGACAACTGTGAATAAACACTTGTATCCTCTGGATGATGACTTTAGTGGTTCTCCAAGATTCCGACACAAACAGTAGAACTGTATTGACAACATTTAATGGATTATCACAAAAGTAGTTCCTTACTAAGTTAAAACCACAGTCTAGTGTTTCCTGATTGTACAGGTACATCGTTTGATGTCAGTCGGCAGTGAATACCACCTCAAAGTTAAACGAATCTCCACACATTCTTCGACCAATTCGGATAAAAAGGGTTATTAATAATGTAGTATGAATGAAACAACAAAAAGACTCGAACAAATCTGGGAACTCAAGTGAAAAATGTCAAAATTATTTGGGTTAAGTCGTACATTTTAACCATTGAAATTTAAAAAAAAACTATGACGGAAAATATCAATCGAGATTTAAAAACATTACATAGAACTAGGAAGTAGCTATTTAATCTTTTTGATTGAGATCATGAACCGATTAATGTTAGACCATCACAATTGAAAACCTGGAAGCACTGGACGGCCGTTTCGTCCTATTGTGGGACTCCTCAGCAGTGCGCATCCACGATCCCGCGAGCGGGATTCGAACCCAGGGCCTTCGGTCTCGCGCGCGAACGCTTAACCGACTGGACCACTGAGCCGGCATCCAATGGTGATAGTTTCTAGCATCAACCAATCCACGAAATTGCGCGACCAACTTCCATTGTACTGAGGTAGATACCTGTCTCTACCCCCATACTAGCTATTTAATCGTCGGATTTATGAGTCATTTAAAGCTTGACTACCATGGGAAACCTGGAAGCACTGGACGGCTGTTTCATCCTTGTATGGAACTTCTCAGTAGTGCACATCCACAATCCTGCCTAGCGAGATTTGAAACTAGAACCTATCGGTCTCTAGACCACTGGGCCGGCATCCAACGGTGTTAATGTCTATCTTCAACCAATCCACAGATCATGGAGGCGCACTACTGAAGAGTCCCATACTAGGGCGAAACGACCGTTCAATGCTTCCAGGTTTTCCATCATGGTCCACCTTCAATTGACTCATAAACACAACCATTGAAATTACTGCAATATTCACAAAACCCCTCTCTGATTATGAAGTAGTTACTGAAACTACATTTTACTATCGTTTATATCAGAACCAAATCACTGAAATATAATCTATCTTAACTACACTTACTTTTTTATAGCCATATATAGATAAAAGATGTCGACGTAAACAACCTATAGACCATTTACAACCTTTTTCAGCATCATAATCAGGTGCAGTCTTTTGTACAGCAATATTTGTCAAATGTATATCTATAATAAAGTATATAATGTTAAGTTTATACAAGAAAACGGGAGTTCTACCATGAAAAGTTTTAATCATCAGTGGTACATTCAAATAATTCATTTTAAAACTGTTGATTATGTAAAATCTCCTAACAATAAAAGTGGCATAATTAGAGTACCAAGATGGTGAAGCTTAGTGGACCCTTCTGAAAAGATACAGGCCACATCAAAGCACGGCAGAACTACCGGGACTAGAATATCTACTTTTGCAATCGGTTGGAGTTTGCCCCGTAGGAAGTAACCCCTTACATTTCATGCACAAATTTTGTGAATTTTTTGTCGTTTTTCGATCCACGAGTAATTGTGTTGTGATTCTTTGTGGGTTACGTGATTAGTTTATAGGTATAGGTCGAGTGGGTGATTAGCCTGATTTATATCACCTGTGTTATCGCTCACGTTAGTTCGTGGGACTGAGTCCCACTATCCAGGAGGCACGACGAGGTTGTGTTAGTCCAGTTTTGCTTCTCAAGGCTATTAGACAAATCAAAAATAACAAAGCAACATCAAACAACATATCAGTTGAAGGACTGAATACAAATATAGAGGCATCTACAAAGATATTCACGTTCAATTCAAAAAGATTTAGAAGGAAGAATCAGTACCAGTAGAATGGAAATAGGGATAACCCATCAAGAAATCAACAAAAAATGAGATCTGGGCAAATGTGAGAACTACAGTGACACTAGACTTCTATCGATACCAGGAAAAGTTTTAAACAGTGTTGCTGAACTGGATGAAAGATTCAGTAGACGGATCGGATTCCTTAAGGATCGATCGTACGCAGACCCAATCGCGACATTATGGATCATTGGTGAACAGTCAAGTGAGTGGAATTTCTCACTATTCATCAAATTCCTTGATTATGAGAAAGCGTTTGATAGTGTGGATAGGAGAACCTTAAAGAACCTTCTTCGACACTGGTTTACATGAACAGATCGTCAACATCATACGGAATTCATATGATGGGCTACACTGCAAAGTCGTGCATGGAGGACAGCTGGCAAATGCATTGCAAGAACCGGAGTTGGACAATACTACTTAATCCCCCCTTTTTTCTATCTTCTGAGGTTTGACTGGATTATCAAGACCTCCACATTGCAGAGGAAGCACGGAATGCAATTGGGATCTTGCATGTAACTAGACGATTTGGACTTTCCAGATCACATAGCCCTTCAACCAATACGCATCAACAAACGCAAGTGAAAACAGTCATTGTAGCATCAGCCTCGATATCAATAGGCGTCAACATACACAAGGGAAAATGCAAGATCCTCAAATACAACACAGGGAACACTAACCAAATCATTCGATAGAGAAACTCTGGAACAAGTGGAATCTATCACGCACCTGGACAGCATCATCAATGAACACTGAGGATCTGATGGAAACGTAAACGTGAAGATTTGCAAAGCGAGGTCCTCATTTTTACGGTTGGAACTCAAAACAACTATCGACCAATATCAAAGTACGAATCTCCAAAACAAGCGTCAAGATAGTTCTATTGTACGGGGTTGAAATTTCGAGAAATACCACAACCATAATCAAAAAGGTAAAAGTATTTATGAACAATTGTCTGCGAAAGATACTCAATGTACTTTGACAGGATACCATCAGCAATAGGCTACTGTGAAAGTGAACAAACCAACTTCCAACTAAAGAGGAAATTAGGAGAAGACGATGGAAATGGATAGGAAATACATTGAGGAAATCATTAAACTGCATCACGAGGAAAGCTCTAGCTTAGTATCCTTAAGAGAAGCGAAAAAGAGGAGGACCAAAGAACACACCTAACCGTGAATCGGAAGCAGATATCAAAAGAATGAATAGCAAATGGAAAGGACAGTTCATGGTGCGATGAAACCCAAGCAAGTGGCCCAGCAAAGCCCTCAGATGAAGAATACTCGAATTCCCTACGAAGTTGGTACAAAAGTGTATGCGCGAGATTATAGACACGAATGCGATAGATGGATAGAGGGTGAAATCACACAAAAAAACATGGAGTCGTCATGTATGATATCAAAGTGAACCAGGCATCACAATCAAGTCAGGCCAAGGGAAGCGGGCGCGAGGGCTTAACCATTAGACCACTGAGCCGGCCGTAGTTTAACGGTGTTAATGTTTATCTTCAACCAATCTACGAAATTGCACCACAGTAAACCATTGTCTTCAGTGAGTTGATATCTCACAACAGACCTGATTGAACTCCACTGGTCAAGGTTTCTCTATAAAACTTCAGGAAATGCCTCTTGAAGTCAGTCAATAGTGAGTTGATGATTATTACCAGAAAGGGTTTTGTGGAGATTTTAAGAACTTCAATAGTTGAAATCACGAGAAAATTGAAGCTAGACCACTAGCTCAGTGATCTAATAGTTAAGCGCTCGCTCGCGAGACTGTTAGGTCCTCGGTTCGAATCTCGCGGGGGGGGGCAAGATCGTGGATACGCACTGCCGAGGAGTCCCATACTAGGACGAAACGGCCGTCCAATGCTTCCAAGTTTTCCATGGTTATCTAGCTTCAATTGACCGATGATATCAACTATTGAAATTTCTAAAACTCTCCACAAAACCCCTTCTGAAAATACTATAATAGTTACATAATATAGAATCAATTCAAAAGGATACATTGATCATCAATAGAATCTAATGAAAATCTTGTATTGGAAAAACGAGCAAATCCATCTCTATAAACCCAAACCTTCAATGGATTGAACTATTTTTTGAAAAAAGCATCGAATTCCATTAATGATACATGAAAATCACTTACCGATGTAACAAGAACATAAACACGTAAATCAAATTTACGTCCACATAATAAATATGGATTAGTGATATATTTTGAAACAACATAAGTTTCAGGTAGTTCACGATTTTGTATATCACCAACAGTTTGTTGTTCAAATTTCTATGGAACATTTGAAAAAAAAAGTAAATAGGATTTTTACAACAACAACAACAGCAACAACAACAGCAACAACAGCAACAACAACAACAGCAACAACAACAGCAACAACAACAACAGCAACAACAGCAGCAACAACAGCAACAACAACAGCAACAACAGCAACAACAACAACAGCAACAACAACAACAGCAACAACAACAGCAACAACAACAACAGCAACAACAGCAGCAACAACAGCAACAACAACAGCAACAACAGCAACAACAACAACAGCAACAACAACAGCAACAACAGCAACAACAACAACAGCAGCAACACCAACAGCAACAACAGCAACAACAACAGCAACAACAACAACAGCGACAACAACAACAACAGCAACAGCAACAATAGCAACAACAGCAACAACAAAAACAAAAAAAATTTGTACCATTCCAGTACGTTTCCATGCTTCAATATCTTTTAATTTACGAAATAGAAATATTCCTTTGCCTTGGGATTTAGCAATCGGTTTCATAATCCATATAGAACCAGGATATTTACGAAATTCTTCAATAAACATATGATATTCCATCTTAAAAAATAAATAAAAAATTATTGACTAGAGATATGTTGATAGAATCTTACTGGAAGTTCAAATGTGGTTGGGAAAAAATCCAATCTATAAAGGAACAAATAAGTTTCATTGATCTATAATAAGTGAATCTATTACATTTGACTTTCTTGTTTATTGTATTCTTTTTCCCATTTACGTTTTAAACGTTTCAAATTTTTCACCATTAAATTTTTACGGGTAAGCTAATAAGATAATAAAAAAAAAGAAATGAAATGAAAGATTTTAAAAAAAAAACACTGAAAGTAATCTGTGTACTTATCACTATGCAAAATTATTGACATTTAGTAACTAAGGTATCTCCTAAGAACTAATCTATACAATAAATGATCAAAAGGGGGGTTTTGTGGAGATTTTTTAGAAATTTCACTGATTGAAATCATGAGTCCATTGAAGCTAGATGATCATGAAAAATTTGGAAGTACTGGACTGTTGTTTCATCCTAGTATGTGACTCCTCAGCGGTACACAATATCGTGGATTGATTGAGGTCAAACATTAATACCGTTAGATGGCTGGCTCAATGATACTGAGAGGAATCGTTCACTGATAGGTACCGTTCCTATGATGCTGTCTTTTATGACATGGAGTAATTTACAAACTGGCCACGTTGCCACTATTCTCACCCCGCCCCAGCATCGGAAAATAATGCTCAGTGTGGAGTTCACTGGAACGACATTCATAAAACATGGCCAAACCATCCGTGTCGGTTTTTCAAGATGGTAACGTCAACTGTATAATCGTCATTGCACTGGGATACATATAACTGGACATTGGAATTGCACCACGGTGGCGCAACTTCGTGGATTGGTTGAAGTTAGACATTAACACCGTTGGATGCCAGCTCAGTGGTCTAGTTAGTTAAGCGCCTGGCGCGAGACTGATAGGTCCTGGGTTCGAAACTCGTGGGGATGAGGGATCGTGGGTGCGCACTACTGAGGAGTCCCATACTGGGACAAAACGGCCATCCAGTGCTTCCAGGTTTTCGATGGTTGTCTAGCTTCAAGTGACTCGCGATTTCAATCGGTGAAATAAATGATCATGTTATTTATGAAAAGATTACGCTCCTAGAAAATCAGAGATATTTACGTGAACTAATCACTAGATAAGATCTACTTGACCTTTAGTTCTTATGTTTCTACTTTAACAAAATACATTTTGCCAATTAAGTTAATGTTAAGGATGAATAGTGGCTAGCAATGGAACCCAGGATGCACGACAATTCGTTTTATTTGTGACTTGTCAACTGAATATTTCTAAATATCAGAGTTGATGTTCACTTTGGGACTTGAACCCACTACCGTTCACTTCAAATACCATCGTGTCATCCACTTAACTATTGAGTCGTGATAGCTATTTGCTTGTGCAATGGAGTGAGATGCAGGTACATCCAGTTGATGAGTCCCAAATGGGACGAAATGCGCGTCCTGAATTTCACTGCTAATCACTATCCGTCCTTAGTTATAATACTTGTAAATTAAGGCAATATCGAGGCAATATGCACTGGATGCACATATGTCAATAAGAGTCTGATCAATTGCAGTCCTAAACATCACTGTGTAGATTCAAGTAAAACAATACCAAGTGAATGAAGTTATGTTAGTTGTATGATAATTGATTATTCTGTAATTGCTTTTAAATGAACGAGGAAAAATATTCCACTATACGAATGTAATACGGGAAATACAGCATTAAAAGATCATAAACAGAAATATTTCCCAGAAAACTGTTATTTTTATTACAAGGATTTGTGAAGTTTGTTAACTTTTACAGTCAACATCATGAATTGAACTTACTTAGACAACCGTTGAAAACTAAAAAAGCACTGATGTATCATTCACTCGCTAATGGTATGGGAAAATTGTTGCTCAATATGAAGAACTGGCTGAAGTTTAGATAGGTAAACTATTGGATCCGCGCTAAATGGCCTAAATGTTGAGCACTCGCTGTGAGACCTGAAACTCTTAAGTTCGGTCCCCAGTTGGGTCGTAAATGTATGCCTTTGTTTACGGTGAAATCACTCATGCTACTAAACTTTGAGTCATTATGTAAAACAATAAAAAGACACGTAAACATATCTTAATTGAAATGAGAAATCGAGGCCATAGGGATCCTTTTGTCAAAGAATAATCACTAATTATCAATATCATGAATTAACTTGACACTGCTTAATAAATTAAAGTTAATCTTGAAATAACGAGGAACCATAATCTACAGATTTTGTATCCGAGAGTTTGTGTGCGAAACGATGTGATGAACTTGCGAGATAAATCTTTGTACATCTGTAAATTCCTGCATTGTATATGAAGCAAGATAACCATATCAAAAATAAATAAGTCATTTATTTTGTATTTATCTTTTGTGACTAATTCTGCACTCAATAATTAACTGACTAACGCGTCGGCGTTTGAAGCGGAAGGTACTTGGTCCACGTTTTGACGTGAACACTAACACTGAGATGAAGGTACGTCCAAGTGATGAATGCTAACTATAATAGATCGCATGTTCTGGATTTTGCTGCTAGCCTCTGTGCCAAATAGGACAGCAGGCTTCCTTAGCTAGGACTTTAGAATCCCGCGCCATCGATGTGTGCTGCGTCTCCGAAACGCACATACAAGATACGAGTAGCGTCACTCATTTGACTTCACCATGCCAAAATAAAGAACTGACTAGATTCACACTTCGTGTATCTGGAAGCCCTGATGTTGATTCCCGTGGCTTGGCCGGCGTAGGTATAGCATTGAGTCCTAGGGCAGAACTAGCTCTCTTAGACTGGATCCCAGTAGACAGTCGTTTGTGCGCCGTCCGACTGAACGGAACAGTAAGAATCCGGAAAGATAGGGACACTCGTCGTTGCCTTATCGTTGTCTCTGCCTATTCTCCCACTGACTGCAGCTCAGATGATGTAAAAGATGAGTTTTACAGAAAGCTTTCGGACCTTCTCCAAAAAGCTAGGCTCCCTGATGTAGTAATACTGGCCGGTGACTTTAATGCTCAAGTAGGTAAACTAAGCGATGGGGAAAGACACCTAGGTGGATCTTATAGCATCGTCGCTCAAAGAACAGATAACGGCGACCGTCTGTTACAGCTATGCTCAGATAACCGCCTGTTCCTTGCAAATACTAACTTTAAGCATAAGGAAAAACATCTTTTAACATGGCGACCCCCTAATTCGTCCCAACGTTGGACCCAAATAGATCACATCGCTATCAGCCACCGATGGAGGGGCTCGATAGAAGAATGTCGCTCATTCTGGAGCACATGCTTAGATTCAGATCATGCTCTAGTACGAGCGCGTATTTGCCTGCGTCTTACTGGATGTAGGAAAGACGCTGCAAGGAAACCTCTTAGGGCCCTACTTAATGATAGTCAAGCTCAGAGTATGTTCCAGAAACAACTAGGAAAACAGTTAGACAGTCATGTATGTGATGTCCACCCCGAGGCAGCATGGAATGATATCCGAAAAGCTGTGGAAATAGCAGTGATATCTGCTAGTACGGTAAACCGTTAAGTTACGGAGAAACACTGGATCTCAGCAGCATCTATCGCACTCATTCCATCTGGCTCTGAACATAATGAAGAGCGGAGTCAGCTTAAATGCAAGCTGACAAGAAGTCTACGCAATGATCGCGAACAGTGGTGGGTAGCGAAAGCAAGATAGATGGAAAAGGCAGCAGCAATAGGTAATAGCAGACAATTGTTCAGACTCGTTAAGGAAACCGGTATTAGGAAACCGACTGTTAACGAAACACTCAGAAAAAGAGGGACATATTATACATTCTCAATCCAGGAGATTGGATCGATGGGCAGAACAATTTAGGGACCAGTTCAACTGGCCTTCAGCCACACTTCGGCTTCACACGATCTCTAGTCAACCTGAATGGCAAGTTAATGTAGGTCCTCCGTCCCTTTACGAAGCTGAAAAAGCCATAGGAAATCTGAGACGAGGGAGAGCAGCAGGCCCTGACAGGTTCACTCCTGAGATTTTTAAGGATGGTGGTCCAGTATTGGCAGTGAGATTAACTGAGGTCCTACGTAGAATTTTGGAACTGGACTTAATCCCATCTGACTGGTCTCAATCACTGATTGTGCCAGTCTATAAGAAAGGACAAAAGTCCTCTTGTGACAATCACAGAGGAATCAGTTTGACTAATATAGTGTCTAAAATATTAGCTTCAATAATACTTCGACGCCTAACCAAAGCTCGTGAAGAGCAGACTAGAGAAAATCAGGCTGGTTTTCGACCTGGACGTGGTTGTATAGATCAGATATTCACACTACGTCAGATCCTAGAACATAGACACACATTCAGACGCCCAACAATCGTAGTATTTCTCGACCTTAAGGCGGCATTCGACTCTATTGATCATAAGGTTCTATGGCAGTGTTTGTCACTGAAAAGAGTACCAAAGAAGTATATTAACCTTATGAAAACTCTCTACTCGAACACAACTGGTAGGGTGAGAGCTTATGGCGAACTGTCATCAGAATTGATTAACTCAAGTGGTGTTCGTCAGGGCTGTCCACTCTCTCCATTCTTTAACTTTGTCGTCGACGTACTTTTAGAGATAACACTTTCCTTGTCTAGATTTCCAAGGGTTGAACTTCTACCGGGAGGTTCACTTGTTGACTTAGAACATGCTGATGACATAGTTTTATTTGGTGAAGACGCTGACAAAATGCGGAGTCTTCTGAAATATTGCTCGTACATCCTGGGACCATTGAGTAAGTAATGCAGTTGTTAGGAAACGGGTACTAAGTGGGGATGGCAAATCAATTGATGAAGTAGTGAAACTTCATCAGTTGAGATGGCTGGGACACGTGTTACGTATGCTCAACCACCGACTGCCTCGATGTGCGATGTTTTGTTGTATAGGAGTAGATTGGAAGAAAGGTAGGGGCGGCCAGACCGAAACATGGTACAAGTCCATGAAGTCACTGACAAGTAGACTGAGTCATGTTGGTAGGTGTAGACTACCTGGTTGGGGACCGCGAGATGATAGCAACCAATGGTTAGAGACCTTGAATGACATGGCTCAAAATCGTTTGCAATGGTGTGCGCAGGTGCATCCACTCCTTGTGTTCTCCCAAATTCTAATCTTCTGATTTCTTCATGTCCCTTTCTTTTTTCTCTTTCCAAATTTATTTTACTGTATTATACTCCTTGAATAACATCTTCAAACCCTAATTTTTCTGATTACAGCTTATATTTTTACTACATCTAGCACTACGGGATTTGAATCGACCACTGCATCTCTGTGCAAATGTGGTGTGGCAACTCGAACTGATGTACGTACGTACGAAGTTCCACGTTGTTACTGACTGGCTGACTGACTCTAATTGGAAACTTCTGTGCTTTATGGTTACACTGAAGCGATCTGTTTAGGATGCATACATGCCAAAAAGACCGATCAGTCGCGATCTTTTAAATCAACAACGGGAAGAATAAAACACTTACAAATGAATTACAGCTTGACAATAGACAACAGATATGAGTACAATCACACACATGATGATTAAATTTTGAATAACAGTAAGATATTAATGGAAATACAATGATCCTTATATCGCCGACCTTATCTGTTCCTAGAAATATGGTTTATAAGTATTCATGGTTGACAAAGACTAGCTATATACTACAATGATTATGTTAACTAAAACAATCCTATAGATTATTGTCTGTTTAATCAAGAGTAGATATGAACCGGGCAAACTGTAAAAAATTGATTAGGAGTAATTTAAGAGCAAACCGTACAGTAATGATTGATATGGATCAAACGGAAGTTTATAATAAATAGGACATAGAAATACAGTGGTACGATTACTCAGTAATAATGTGATAAGAGTACAAACAACGTTAGTGAGCGAAATAGCTTCAAAGTTCTAAATTCTTCAGTAGTCATCTGGAATGAACAAACATTGTTCAGTATCATGTGTGAAATCACCAAGTCCTTATTGAAATATTACTAAACGTACACAAAGTCAAATTGCATATATTTTTCTACAACATACCTCAAAGTGATTTCGAAAATGACAAATCTTCGTTATATTGCCCATTAATCCGTGATCAAATAACTCTTTCATTGTCATGGGATCACACCAAAAGAAATCACATTCTTCTTCTCTGTAAAATGTAAAAAAGTAGATACAATAGCCACTTAGAAAAAATTTCCATTTGTGATGTACAAAAATATTCACTTATATTCTCTCGAAGATATTTTCTGAGTGAAATCAAAATTTCGTTTTATCGTAAGTGGAAAAAGATAGTCACTGGAATAATATTACTGTAATATATGTTTACCATTAACATGTACTTATTTATTTGTGACTCAATCATAAAATTATGTAGCTCACATGTAAAGTGTAATCAGCCAAACAATATGAGAAGCGTTAACTAAGTCCGGTTATTAAGTTTTATTTTTCCACTTTATAAATGAACTACAAAAATCATATAGAGCAGTCATTTACGTTTGAAAAAGTTTGTGTTAAAAACTTTGTAAAGAAGTGTAAAGATTTACCTCGTCAAATTATCCATTCCTGTCCTCTGATAATCATTGAATATCTGAATCTAAACAAGAAATCCAGATTCATAATCAGTTATCGCAGAGGCTCATTAATCCAGGTGATCGTTTACACAACTCATATAATATTTTCACTTGTATAATACCAGAGATTTCACTAATTATTACAGTTCAATAGTCGCTTATCAGCAAGAACTACAAGATACAAGGTGATCTAATAGTGGCTTATCATAGACTAACGGGTTATCGATTTTCTCATTGTATCTAGGACTGATTATCTAAGAAGACACTCTCAGATAGTGCGAAAATCGAGAGCAAATAGTCTACATCTAGAGTCTTGTTTTTCTCAATAAAGAGTGAAATTGTCTTCTACGAAACGTAATACCACCATCTTTTGTCACTATATTCAAAACGAGGATAAATCTTTGCTGCACTGCAAATAGAAAAGATTAATACAGTTCGCTTAGAGATGACTTTATCTCATATTCTTACCAATGAAGACCGAAATATAAAAAGTATTATACTGACGAAATCGTTCAGTAAAGTCGAGAAGTAAGGTGGTGATTCATGAGAACATTGTATATATAGAGAATACATCGACTAGTTTGGTGAATGTTCAGTATTTTAAGTCAATATAGTAGGCTGTAATGGACTAAACCACCAAATGGTATGAAATCGGATAGATTTTTTTCATTTAAGGGCGTTTGTCGAAGGCAAAAAAAGATTCATAAGAGTCAAGCTCATGCATTCGACAATTTACATTGATAAGATGGATATTTTTTATTCATACTTAGCAATTATTGAGTTACCTGCAAACCTCAATCCACCCACGGTTTCTTAGGACATCAAGAATCGTATTGTTCATAGTGCACTTAAACCGAATAGAACTGGAAAAGAATTATTGTATGATAAAACTTACGGAACACTCATTTTTATAAATAAATGATTTAGAAATTATAAACTGACGTTTCGATTGCTGTTATACTAATAACAGGCTTTAGATCGATTATAGACTGATATTTGTTCTGAAGATATCTCGTTGGTTAAAGATCGTGACATAAGCCAAGCGAACTAGGAGACCTATAAGAGAAAAGAACAATAAGAAACGCAAGTAGGTAACTGAGTGAGCACGCATACAACCTCTAAATAGCCTCTAATTACGAAGCATCTGCAAATGGAGAGGATCATAGAACACTATTCAAGAAAGCAACCTGATAATTCACATTGGATCTACCTCTATAGAGATTGATCTAATGTGTTATATATATATATATATATATATATATATATATATATATATATATATATATATAACTTGATCGAATTCGATCGAATAATAATATTTGAACGGATGCCTGTAATTCCTTTTAAGGGTGATCACTAACCTTATGAGACAATTTTCTTAATTTTTTTACTGGTGACAGTCAGTTGTATTAATTCAAAAAGTCAATAAATTTCAAGTCGTAAATTGGACTATTTCAATGAGCTGAGCGTTTTATCCTACCAACACATAAGATATTGGAATAATTAAACAAAATCTAAACAAATCCAGTGCTCAGTATATCTAATATCTTTGTCACCAGTTTGTATAAGCTACTTGCTTTCTTTGAGTTGGTTTTTTGTTGTTTTGGTACGTTTCCATGTATTCCGTAAATTCCAGCGAGTGGCAGTCTAGCCACTCAATTGCACTAATTCTAGTCGTTTTGGTATTTACTTGTAGATTTGCATATCTTTTTGCTTGCATGAGTGCTTTTGTCTTAAAACAGTAGGGCTTCCATCCTCCAGCAGATACCACATTAGTAGGCGGAGGTTTGTTTGATTGCAATAAGAAAATAATGGTGATAATTCGAGTTATGAGAGATCATTATTTCCAGAATAACAAACAGACTAAGTAATTGGTGTGTGATAAGACGAAATTGAAGGAATTAGACTGAAATCGACGGTAATAAATGGAGACAATGGAAGAAGTTAATGATATGCGTTAATGGTAACCGTGGGAATTAATGAGATCAGCGTCACATGATAATCCACTGATGACTACGTGTTTATCAAGTCTCTTTTTAGAGCTATCCACTGAAAAAGGCTGTGATCACTTAGTCTGGGAAAGCATTCCAAGTGGGGTAAATTCTTAATAAGAATTAGTGAGAGCATGCTAGGCTGTACGCATCTGTTGCGCACGCTTCCGAGAAGCGTTCTGTTAATGACCTGGTAAAGTGCCGTTTGTCGAGTTGGCTCGGTGAACTCGACTTGTTGTATGCCATCGTCAGATCATCACTTATTGTCCTGTAGCGCAACGAGAAAAATCTCAGATTCTGGAGTTTTTCCTCCTAAGACTTATCTTTTAGCCCTATGACCAACTTCGTTGCCCGTCTCTGTATTTGGCCCAAGATATTCGTGCCTCTTTCGAAGAGATCAAGCACAACAAAACTGTGCATTCCAAAGTGTGGCCGTGCTTAAGTTTCGCACGGTTACTGAAACAACAATGGAGTAGTCACACCAAATAGTCTTCTCACAACGTAAAAGTAGCGATTACAGTGCCTGTATAATCAACACATCAGAAGTAGTGTAAACACCTGAAAAGTGGAGATCCTGGCTTAAGTGAGGCTCAGGACGCTTGATATTGGTGTAAAAGAGAGTCTAACACAAACAGAAAATTTCAAATGCTCTACCATGTCAGGTTCATTGATCACCCTGTTTTCTAATAAATTTCTAAGAAGAATTAGCTCAATGGTACACACATATGAGAAGGACACAAATATATGGGGGCATATAAAAGACTGAATGAGCTTAATAATTATTTTACAGCAATTGAGAAACAGGCAGCTTAAAACATAAATTATGAAAACTCCACGTCGTGAACATTCTTCCTCAAGTGATTCAAACAACTTGCTTACTCCAGTCGATACAAAGCACTTTCACTCCGCATGAGTCTCCTCTCTCGACTGTCTACTCAAAGCGCGATCTCGTGCTAGTAACCAAGCTAGCTTAAATCAATTTGAGATTGAGGCAATGTAAGTCTAATTCTTCACTCTATTCGAAGACAAATTGGACTCGAAGATTTGGGACTGTTCACACTCAGCTATAAGAAGATAAGAGGTAATCTAATAATTAAACACAACATAATAAGTACACAAATTCGCGTCAACACGAATATCCCATCCCAACATCGCCAACAAGAAGAGACTTGACAATTAGTTAGTCATGGATTACCATTCCTTGATTGGTTTAGCTTTGTCTGGGGCATGTCTCTAAACTTACTAATTGTCATCGTTAATCCATATCACATAATTACATCTACCTCTCTTATAAACATTTCTGTCCTCCTTAGATTCATAATCTCTGGTCCTATCAAACTGTCTGCTTTACTAATTATTTTATATATTAAGTGAGTTCTTCAAACAATCGTCGTTCAATTATTACACAAACGATCACTTCATTATTTTCACACTGCAATCAACCAACGTCCCGGTTGATAGTCGGACAGCAGACTATAATTGAAAACTTACTGCTGACGCACACAGCGTAACATGGAGATGATGTCGGTCAAATGACTTTCCTTCCATCTCTAAGGAGAAGTGATCAGGTAGTCGTCATATTTAAGTTGATGTCTGAGATGGCCTGTCAAATAGTTGTGCCAGCGCGTCTTAACACATGGATGGCAGACACTGAGGCGATAAACTGTGAAGCATCGGCTGAAAACTGAATTGTTGACTCAAAGGAATCAGTGGACGAGGCATGCACTTAAACAAATAAACCCTGGACCGTCCCAAAAAAGAAGCACGTCCGTTCCTGGATGGGCCGGGATATTCGGCATTTGCTGGAACGTTGGAACGTTGCCACCAGCCTTGACACAGGAAGTACAATGGAACGCTACGGGTCGGTAAGAAATCGTGTACAATTAAAACCCGGGAAGCACAGCGAAAATATGAAGTGTGATTGGCACTTTCAGCAATGAAAGAGCCTAAGAGAATATTCTCTTGAATAAATAAGGGAATTAAGGAGCGCGACATTTCATGTTGTTATTACTGTGCAACAACAGAGGACGCGTCTATGAATCACATATAAAGGAATTAGGCTAGTGAGTCCCCACCGACATATATCAGGATGCAGCATTTGATTCCCAACCTAATTAATGAAGGTAATGGATACCGAATGATAGAGGATGATCAGGACAATGCAGATGCTATGGCGAACTATTCAGGGGTAGTTTCTACTAAGGAGCCTCCTCCAGATGAAGATTTAGGCCAGGAAACTAAGCAAACCGTCTGCTCACCCCGGACTTTGATCAAGACAATGTACGTGAGGTTTTTGCACCTCAGACATGGAAAAGTCGACAGGACTGGATGAGCTAGACCCCAGAATCCCGAGACAAATCGAAGCTGGAAGGGCTTAACACTGCCATGCGTCTCCTAAAAGGGTTCCAGGATTTCGTAGTAGGTCGTGGACAGAACGTAAGAGTAGATTCGAAGAGCTCCACCTGAAGGCCAGTACTTGATGGAGTACCGCAAGGTTCTGTCTTAGATCCTTTACTTTGTGTACTGTATGTTATTTATCTCCGAAGTATAGTTGAGTCTCTAATGTTATTGTACACTGATGATGTGAAAACCTGGCGAGAAATAACGAGCGACGCGGATGCATGCGCACCTCAGACAGACTTTAATATGGTGATTAGATGGTCTAAAGAGTGGCTGGTGCTTATCAATGAGCAAAATGTGCCTAAACGAAGATTGGTGATAAGAAGGTAAATAGGTACAGCATAGGTGAAGTGCCTGTATCCATGGTCCGATCTCACAAATGTCTTGTGGTGACAGTTATAATAATAAAACCATGACACACTGCCAGGAGACTGCAGCCAAGGGGTTTAGAACCCAATAGGCTTTCAGACGGGCATTCACCAAGTTAGATACTACCATATTCACTACAGTATACACACCCGTAGTGAGAACCAGGCTTGAAAACTGACTTCAGACTGCAACCCCTGTTTATAATGTAACCCGGATATTCTGGAAAACGTACAAAGGGCAGTTACTCGTGCAGTTCAAGAACTCCCAGGTTTACCATACAAAGAGTGGTAAGAAAAGCTAGACTTCTTTACTCTGTGTTGTCGCAGATTAAGGGGTGATCTGGTTTTGATGTATAAAACACTAAGAGATGATTTTGGATCTAATACATACTTTATTTTCCTTCCTACTAGATTGGGACATTTCAGTGGGCATATGAAGCGACTATAAAAGCCAAGATTGAAAAAATACCCTTGGCATACAGGTTTTCAAATTGAATCACAAATTCTTGGAACATGTTACCCAAAGCAGTGGTGTACGCAATTTCAATTGACCCACTCAAGAGAAAAATATACACTCCAAAATGTATACTAGAAAAGAAATAAAATTGTCCGTAGCCCACTGTCCTTACTACAAATTTGACAGCTATGACAAACACACCTAAACAAGATGTGGAAATTAACAAATTATTAAAAAAATATTTGTGATTAGTGCAGTGGGGTGGCTAGACGTTACCCCAATGGACATTCAGATGATTCAAATGTTGTGGATGGACTAGAATGCAAATTCGTCCAACGATATTCCATACCTGTCTCTGATGAAAAACCTTACACATTGATATCTACTCACTCTTGAATTCAAGCCACACACTACCAAATATCTAGAATCGTGCCGAAACAACATGAGGCAAACTCAGTCGATATACACGTAAACCGAAACCTATTGGACACAAGACAGTTAATTTTGACAGTCCCGGTACATGGATGGCTTCGACCTTCAGGGCTGCTAAAGAAATTAAAGATGACTGGGGCAACCGCGAAAGGGTTGATGTGATTACTACAAATATTAAAAGCCTAGTCAATTTCCTCAATCGCTTCGACTCTTCGTGTCGGACAAAGTTGTCTCATTTGGACAGTAAACTAACTAATG